TAACTAAGTTTTGATTAGGTGCGGAGGATTCGCTCTAAATATTGGAGTATGCTCTGCCCCTGCTGCAGAGCTGTGGGGAGTTTACTATGGGTTATATATAGCTTGGGAGAGAAGAGCTACACGAGTGGAATTGGAAGTGGATTCGCAGATAGTGGTGGAATTTCTAATGACAGGGATTAGAGATTGGCATCCGCTGTCTTTCCTAGTGCGTTTGTGCTATGGCTTTTTATCTAGGGACTGGTCAGTCCGGATTACTCATGTGTATAGAGAAGCTAACCGTCTTGCACATGGATTAGCTAACTATGCGTTTACTCTACCTTTAGATTTTCATTTCTTTGATGTTGTTCCAGCTACATTGATTTCAATTCTGGTAAAGGACACTAATGGTTCCTCAAGGCCTAGACTTATTCGTATGTGAGATTTTGTTTCTATTCAATAAGATTGGAGGATGTATTATTCTCTTGAAGTGTACCAAAAAAAACTAAGTTTTGATTAACGACATCATTATATTTGTTAAGATCTCATATGAATATGTAGCATAGTGGTGTGCGTTAGTCTTGTGGTTGTGTTTATAATTAATCTATGTTATTGGCCGTCCAAATAAAACCAGTCTTTAGAAATTAACATAATAAAAAAAAAAATTCCTTAACAAAGGTGGTCTTTGACACTAGTACATTTTTAAGAGAAAATTATTAGAAACAAAGATGGTGAGAAAATTGATGAAACATTTTGAAGCTTATGAGCAGAGAATTAATGAGATGTCAAATAGTACTTTTACTTTTAACGTTGATGGATACTATATATTTATCCGCGCTATGCGGCGGGATATTTTTCTAAATTTTATATATATTTTTAATATAATAAAATTATTTTTATAATATAAATAAGTATTATATTTATTTTTTTATTAGCTTAAGTTATGTATTTATATGTTTTAAATCTGAATAAACATTACATGTATATATATATTTTCAAAATTATATTTTGCTATTAAATTTAGTTAGCTAACTAATTATAAATGTATATATAGGAATAAAATATATAAGAATAAAGCAATACATTTTTAGTACCTTCATGTTAATGACAAATGTAATCTATTTTCTCCAATGAATTGCCACATGATCCTCCTTTGTAATTATATAAAGCAAAATGCCATTTAAAAAAAGATTTATTAATTAATATAATTATTTTGAATTATAAAATTTATTTATTTATCAAATATTTTAATATAAACATATGTTTCTAAAACTACCAAACTATAATCAATAACATTCATATCAAAATCATTGCTATTGTTTTAGAACTAAATAGAAAATTATGTTTGAACTCTTAAAATATCGTTTTAGTTAAAGTTAAATAATTAAATTTTGGTTACTGTAAACATAATTTGATTTGGAAATTTAGCACAGAGAAATTTCATTTTTTTACAAAAATCGAGAAATCGCATTTCCCGTCAAAACAAAAAAACTTCATTTTCCCATTAAACTGAGAACGGCTATTCCTGCCAAAACCAAAAATTCATTTTCTCGTCAAACCTAAAATCTAAAATTTCATTTTCCCGCGAGAACCTGTGTTTTTCCATCAAAGCCGAGAAATTATGTTTTTTTCACAAAAACCAAAAGTTTCATCTTCCTGCAAAAACCAAAAAACAAAATTGTATTTTCCTGCCAAAATCGAAAAATTTATTTTTTCCTGCGATAAACTGATAAATCGTTTATTCCTGCAAAAAAAAAATCATTTTTTCGTCAAGCCTAGAATCACGCTTTCCTACAAAAATAAATAAACTATAATTTTCTGCAAAAATCAAAATTTGCATTATCTCCCGTGAAATTATGTTTTCTTGCGAAAACTAAGAAATTGTTATGTTTTTATCGGTTCAAATTGTTGTTGAAGTGTGAGCTTCTTATAACATAAGGCTTTTTGCAATGTTGACATAGAAGCATAGTTGATGCTGAGACTACACTTTTTCAATCATATACGTTTATGTCAAACAAACAGATAGCTAGAATTTTGTTTTATTAATTATTTGCTGTTATTTATTATTTGGATTTGGTTTTGACAAAAAAAAAGAAAACAATGATTTTAATTTTTTTAATTTGTTTTTATTTATTATTTGGGTTTGGATTTGACAAAAATAAAATAATGATTTTTTTATTTACTGTTATTAATTATTTGGGCTTGAGTTTGGTAAAAAATAAAACAAAAATTAATAAAAAAATATTTGGGGTTTTAATGGGTTTAAGTTTAAAAATTAAAATAAATAGATGAGATGTATTAATAAAATGTTTTGATTGATGATTATTTTTGTTGATGTGTCATGTTTATAAAACTTAAAAAAGCTGAGGTGTCAAGCAATAGAAAGACTTGAGTGTTATTGTTGTGTTGATACCTTAACGTTGATGGATATACCTCACATTTGCCAAAGAGGAATGATATAGATAGATCAAATAATACTTTCATCTTTCCACGATGATGGTTAACCTCATATTTGACCGACCGAATAAAAACGTTAGTCATCAACATCAATTAGAAGCGCAACAGAAAAATAAATACTTCTAAATAAAAAATGCCGACCAATTAGTTTTTTCACTTTGTTTATGAAAAGTCAACTGATGTTTAGTGGAGAGTGAGTGGTGCAACTTGAGCTCTTCGTTGCCATATGAAAGTTTCTCTTACAACGAGGATATTGCAAATCACAAGCAAATGGAGATTGTCATCATGAATCTAGTCACACATCTTTGTGTCGGTTTGACTGATTTTAATTTTTTGTTTCTGATTTTTTTTTCTTTCTGCCTTTATACCATTTTAACGTAGAATCAAAGATAAATGGATACATGAAAAAGTCATACACTAATGGTTCAAAAAAAAAAGTCATACACCAAAATAAGACAATCGCCCTATCATCAAACCTTATTAAAAGTGGACGTGCTTGGGATTTTTATTGGGGTTTCTATTAGAACGTCACATCTCACGGTAAATTGAACAAAGTTTTATAATATTTGTTTTAAGATTAATAATCGAGAACTCCGAAGTCAGTGTGACCTGAATTAATCGACATTTTATAAGTTTTACGATAACATATTCTAAAATTAGTCTGAACATGTCTTTTTCTTTAAAAAAAAGTATATGGATCTTAAAATCCCTTTATCAACTAATTTATAATATGTCAAATGTATATGTTTTCTTTTTAATGTGGACCTAGATACATCTTATTGTTGTGGACGGATATCTGATATATATCGGATATCCAAAACCTATTATTGCTTATTGGTGATAGCACAGATTCAAATTCAGATATTTCATAATTCTAGAATAATCAGATCTGTTCCATCTCGAATTGACGAAGAAATAAGCATGGGAAACTGATTCATAGGAGTACATTTTAATGTTTACTTTTTTTATTTGACACCGTCACTCCGACGACTTGCCTTTGTCTGCATTATTTATGCTGTAAGTTTTTTTGCTGTAACTTTAGATTTGTTGTTATAGAATATATTATATTAAAATAATTTTTTTAATAAATATATAAAGTATAAAAACAGAAATAAAATATGTAAGTAACATAAATGGAAAGAAAAAATAATAATTAATGAATCATATAGAAGGAAGAGAAAAAGTCAAACCAAATCTCTTAAAATTGGGTTGTAGAAATTTTGCTGTCCGCAGCACTTAAAAAAAAAATTGCTGTAGATGCTGTGGTTTTTGTTAAAGAAAGTAAAGCATGATTGGTTAAATATCTGAGCTTTGGGTTTGGTTGGTAACAACTGTAGCTTTATGTTTTTGCTGTAGAAACATGACTGTAGGTTTTTTTGCTGTAGCTGTAGATTTTATTTCTTTAAAATTTTGACAGTAGAATTGTAAAATTTGGAAAGCATAAATTTATGTGCTTTAGAAAATAATGTTTTGTACAGCCAAAAAAATAAAAAAGGAAATATTTTGGCTGTAAGCAAATAAAAGAAAGACAGAGTTTATAAAGCATGATTGATATGATTTAGAGCTTTAAACATAAATATTGCTTTGTACAGCATCTACAGCAATAACCAATCAAGGCCTTTGGGCTTGATTGGTAAGTGCTGTAGAATGAGTACACAACCATAATTTTTTTAAAGCACTAAATTTTTCTCAATCATACTTTACACAGATTTTTTAAAGCTACAGATCTTTCTTTCCTTTTTCAATTTTTTTGGCTGTAGAAAGCAAAATATGTAAAGGAAAAAATTTGGACTTTGAAAAATTAATAATCCTACAGCACTAAAATCTACAGAATTAAAATCTACAGCCACAACAAAAAACTTACAGATTTATTTCTGCAACAAAAAAATTAAAGCTACGACAGTAATCAATCAAACCCTTTATAAATTTTTTTGCACAGCATCTACAGCTAAGTATCAATCATCCCCTATATAGTTTCGAGAGAATTCAAAATAATTAAGAAAAGCTATATATCTTAATGGCCCAAAAATGTTATGGGCCTAAGCTAACTTCGAATTAGTAGTGTAGCCCATCGATTGTTCATATGATCAAAACCCTAGTTCGCCAAGTCTTGGAAAGCTTCCTCAATCTAAACCGGTATATTCTGATCCGGTTTGTATTAATTTTAAATCCTTTATTTTCTCCTTTTTGTATAAAGATTCTTAAGAAAAGCCAAAAAGCAATCTGGAACACAAATGATGATGCTAGAGAATTACATTCTTTGAAGATCAGTTCTCTCTTTCTCAGGTAACGAAGCTTCGGATCATGCAATACTTTACTCTCAGTTGAATTCGTTTCCCCATTTTGGTTAATTCCCTTTTGTGTATTCATGTCTCTAAATCTTAGTTCCATCTGTGCCTGATGATCTGAGAAATTGTCAAAATAAAAAATAAAATAAAGTCTTTGTGATGTTTGAATTATAAAAATCGAGCCTTTGTGATGTTCAATTATAAAAATCAAGCCTTTTGCTTTTGTCGTTTCTAGATTACCCTTTAGAAGATAAATTACTTGTGGGGAAGGTAGCAAAAATGGAAGAAGAGGTCAAAAAGAGAGTTGCATTCGTGCTGATCGATGGTTTGGGAGATGTATCAATACCGAGATTAGGCTATAAAACTCCTCTGCAAGCAGCAAACATACCTAATCTAGACGCAATCGCATCAGCTGGAATCAACGGTCTAATGGATCCAGTGGAAGTTGGATTGGGATGCGGAAGTGACACAGCTCACCTCTCTCTGATGGGTTACGACCCGAGAGTGTATTACAGAGGACGTGGCGCCTTTGAGTCCATGGGTGCTGGATTAGCAATGTCACCAGGTGATATAGCTTTCAAGGTTGTGGTTGAATGAATCTTCCTTCCATCATCTTCTCTTGCAGCTTCTTTTGTCAGTTTATATAGGTTTTGACATTGTGGAGATCTTCATGATGCAGTCTAATTTTGCGACGTTGGATGAGAAATCTGGAATAGTTGTTAGTAGGAGAGCTGATCGGCATTTCGAAGAAGAAGGGCCTATTCTCTGTGCTGCTCTTGATGGAATGAAGCTTCCTTCTTTCCCTGAGTATGAAGTGAGAGTCAGGTGCAAATTTGTCTCTTTTAGTCTTTATAATTCCGTTATTGGGTTTTGGGTTTTGGCTATAGAGAGATTTTGTTTTTTTTTTTGCTTCTGCAGATATGCAACAGAACACAGATGTGGAGTGGTTGTAAAAGGGCCAAAGCTTAGTGGGAATATATCTGGAACAGACCCATTGAAAGATAATCGTTTACTTCTTCAAGCTAAACCTTTGGATGAATCAGAAGAAGCCAATCACACAGCTAAAGTCGTTAACGAATTGTCCAGGGAGATATCGCGCATTCTTGTTTCCCACCCGGTTAACGCAAAGAGACTTGCGGAAGGCAAGAATATCGCCAATCTCGTCCTTCTACGAGGCTGTGGCATTCGAATCGAGGTCTGTGTTCTTAGTGCTTTAAAATTTTACTGCCTCTTACAGATTCTTTTAAATGAATCTACTTGTTCTTTTTTTTGGAATGTAAAGGTTCCTCCTTTTCAAGAGAAGCACGGCTTGTGGCCGTGTATGGTAGCACCAACGAAGATTATAGCCGGACTTGGTATGTCCCTCGGTATTGACATTCTAGAAGCTCCGGGAGCCACTGGAGATTACAGGACTCTTCTCACATCGAAAGCAACTGCGATAGCCAATGCGCTCTCAGCTCCTTCGAGTCCCTGCCCAAATGTCTTTGTACCGGGAGAGGACGGGCATAAACCGGGAAGGTCAGATGGTTACGATTTCGGGTTCCTTCACATAAAGGTGAAAGCTTTTGTTCTGTCTTATAACACAAAACTTAAAAAAGTTGTCTTTCTGATTTTTTCAGATGTTTTTTTTTTGTTTTGGATGAGTCTTGCAGGCTATAGATGATGCGGGTCATGACAAGGCGACGTTGTTCAAAGTTCGAGGCTTGGAAGCTGTGGATAAGGCGATACGTCAGCTCGCTAAGCTTCTATGGCAAGCTGAAACTTCTACGAATTACCAGTATTTCTTGTGTGTGACCGGTGACCATTCTACTCCAGTCGAGTATGGAGACCACAGCTTCGAGCCAGTCCCATTCACAATGTGCCGGTTGGGAGATTTTGTGAGCGCGGTTGGAGGAGAATCAGCCCTTTTAGAGACGTCTTTGGACCCTTTTCCACTTCCAACGGTTGTGGAATCTGGTGAAGTTGTCACCGGAAAAGAGGAAGACGGTGGGAGTAAGGAAGCTCTTCTTGCGATTGGTGGAGATTCAGTTGCAGAGCTGAATGAGATTGCAGCTGCAAGAGGATGTCTTGGCCGTTTCCACGGCGGTGAAATGATGGGAATCATCACCAAGTTCCTTAAGCTAAATGTATGAGTTTCTTTACACTTTGCATTTTTCTTCTTGCTTTTGAGAATTTCGATTTTGAAAAGTGTAATAAAAATTACCAAACTTTGACAAATTTATGTCACGTTACATCAACTAGTTCAAAGATTCCACAAGTGTTAAAAGATAGTTTCCAACGAGGGTAAAGAGAGTTTTAAGCTATACATTACACATTACAAAAACTAAGTACACCAAAAGTTTACCATCACATTAGACAACCGTACAATTCTTGTTGATCACCTCTTTTGGAAATTCAAAGTCTTAACCGAGAAAGCATAGATGAAAACATATAGCAAACAGAAAGCGAGGAGGACAAGTGAGACAACCCACAAGAAGTCGTATTCATAACCATAGTAGTTTTTCATGAACTCAGAAACCTTCTCACCAGTATCAAGCCTCGTCTCCACATCTCCGTACTGAGATATCGTCAGCCCGTACAAACCCCACCACGCTGGACTCACGAACGGGAACCATCTCAACCACACAGGCATTCTCTGCAAAAAAAACACACATCCATTTTACTATTATAACCATTCTTTTATTTTTTTACAATTTAGAGGTTGAATAAATCAGTCTTGGTTGGTTACTTACAGGACGAGGAATGGCGAATCCTGAAAAGACGTTCAACGATGCGGAAAGAATACCATTGAGAATCGCAGCGGTTTCTTGATTAGGGCTTAGGGCAATGAGCATGATACCAGTGTAAATATAGTAGAGGATGCTAATGAAGGTAAAGAACGTGTACAACAAGAACTTGGAAGCTTTCCATTCGTATCCAATCATCCCATAGACTACAGCTGCGTAGATGCAAGCTTGAGCCATTGTATACGGAATCTCGATTGCCACCTTGTAAAATGGTTTTTTTTTTTTAAGTTTAGAAACCAAAACGTTAGGATAAGTTTCATTAGTGCATAGAAATGAATGTAAATTATATATAACCTGTGAGAATGCATAAGGTAGAGCAGAGTACATTCCAGCAACGGTCTCTCGGTAAAAGACGGTACGCTCAGCGATTGCTACAGGACGCACAGTGGCCGCGCTTTGTCCGCCTAGGAAGCCCATAACGATTGACATTGCGCCTACACTGTTGAAGATATCTTCTCTTGTTCCTTTTCTTTTGCCGAGGCTCCAGAAAATGATTCCGTACATCACTCCAACCGCAGCCGCGAAACAGAGACGCACTGCGTTGTAAGGAACGTTTCTCCAATATGTTTTGTGCATTTTCCACAGGCAAGCTTGGAACTGAGTCAGATAGGGTTGTGAGTACTTTGTTGAGAAATGAATGTCTGTTGCATGAGGAGGAACCCTGTTTAGTTCCTCAATTAGATCTTTGTTTCTCCTGTTTCAAACACAACAAATATATTACTTTTGATTAAATGAAAGTTTTTGTATAAATGCTTATATAATTAACTAAACTTACCTGTAAAGGCTTGAGTTTTTGTATTCTTGAGCAAATCTGACACCAAGAACATCTTCTTGTGCCCTTGTTGTCACTTCTAGGGCCCATGTTGCTGGATTGTAGCCTTCCCTGATTTTTCCTACTCCTGTAATTCCCTACAAAAACAATCTTGTTCTGTTATTTTATTGTGAGAGGAATCAAAATCAAACATCTTCTTCTTCTTTCTTACCTCAAAGTATTCAATTACTTGTGAGGAATGGTGGCCAATTGGACCAACATAGATCTCTTCTCCTCCCCTCGCCAACAAGAAAAGCTAATAAACAAAAATGAAAAGTTTAGTCTAAAGGTAAAACTAATAATTAATAATAACGTAAAGAAGAAGAAAAACTGTGAGTTCTTACCTCATCAAAAGATTCAAAGATGTCGATACTCGGCTGGTGAATGGTGCAGACAACAGTTCTTCCAGTGTCAACAGTGTTTCTAACGGTTCTCATGACAATGGCAGCAGCTCTTGCATCTAAGCCAGATGTTGGCTCATCCATGAAAAGGATAGAAGGATTGGCTACAAGCTCCACTGCGATTGTCATCCTCTTCCTTTGCTCCGTCGAAAGCCCACTGATTCCAACATAACCGACCAACATTTCCCTCAATGGTTCCAACTCTATCAACTCCATCACTTCTTCAATGAAAAGCTGTACATTTCCATTAGTTATACATATGGTTTCTTGAATCTTGTAACGGGTTTATATTGATCATAATAAGACTAAGAATCAAGAAACCTCTCGAGTACTTTTGTCGATGTTAGGAGGTAACCTCAACCACGCAGAATAGAGAAGCGACTCATAGACTGTTAGAAGAGGGGAATGGATATCAAACTGTTCGCAGTAGCCCGAAACACGTGCAAAGCTGTCTTGATTTTTAGGAAAACCAGAGACATTGATCTCTCCTTCAATGTAACCAGTGTTCTTGCGCCCGGCTAAAACATCCATCAGAGTAGTTTTGCCTGCTCCACTCATGCCCATAAGTGCAGTAAGAACCCCGGGCCTAAACGCACCGCTTAGTCCATTCAATAGTACTAGTTTCTCCTCTTCTAACCCATTTTCTTTCATAGCCTACAGAAAAAAAAAACTCTCTTTTCTTTTAGTTTCTCTCTCATAAACACTAATACGTACACTACTCTAATTGAAAAAAAAATGTTAATTCACTTACCTTTGGAGTATCAACGGAATATATAATGTTATCGAATGTGATATGTAGAGGCTTGAAAGGTATACGCAGCTTATTGTCGTTGCAAGCTCTCTTTGTCACTTCCCCTATAGAAATCCAAATCCATATTTGTTATCAATAAGTTTTTTTAAAGGAGATGAAAAGTGAGAGATATATATATCCTAGGGTTTACTGCCAGCGAGTGGTTGCGTTAGCGTATTGTTGTTATCATCTTCTTCGTAATCATCCGGTATAACCGCAGTCTTGGAAACTCCATATTCTACAAAATGAGTAAAAATTTCACACTTAACTTGTGTTTATTTAAAATCATAGATGCAAAAAAAAAAAGAGAGGATACACTCACGTTTAAGAAAAGCCAGAGCCAAAGATGTAACAATGTTGGACAATATTGTGGATATGATCAACGCTAATAGTCCAATCCAATACCAATAAGTTTCTACAAAGAAACCTCTAGATTTCAAAACCGCTACTCCAAGACCCTGCATATTGTATAAACTTACATAGTTAAGGTTTGGTTTCTGCTGGATACTTAAAGAAAGAGTTTCCCAAGAAAATTACATCTTTCCAAGATTCGCTGCGGAATTCATTAACCGAAAGAGCTGTTTGAATATACATCATCGGCGATGTCCAATACGCCCATGTCAACCATTGGTGCACTTGATCTGCGTGTGATTACACAATTCATCACTAGTTAAGTTAGTCGATCATGAAACTTGTGTAACAAGTAACAACATACCACCTCAAAACTTACGTCGTGACAACACATATCCGCTGAATGTCATCAGCCACATCACAAGAAGGCATCCCATTGTGTTTGAAACCACATGATTCCGAGTCACTGCAGCAAGACACCGAAAAAGTCCGTACGACATTTGTCCACAAAGTGCTAGAACCAAGTAATGTTTAAGGATCCTGTAGTTACAAAACACTTGCAAATATTAATAAAAATATGCCCTTGATAGTATATGCATGAGACAAGAGAATAAACTATGGACTGTTGAGATTATAAGCTTACGATGTGATGGCTAGATCAAATCCAGTGAGGAAATATGTTAATATAACCACGACGAAGACTTCTACGAATGATAGAGGAAAGTTTATGACCGACGCTGGTAACGAGAAAGCCCACGACGGGTAAAAGCTGAAACGTCGTTGCTTGTAGAACACTGGAAGCTTATCAATTGTCATCGGAAGCTCGAAAAACCCGGAGAAGACAATCATCTGCACTTCCAGATAGATAGCTCCCATGTATATGATTCCATCTTCTACAGTGCTGTGATGTTCCCTTTGTGTCGAGAACACGAGTCCGATCATTGCCGCGTTGAAAAACAGCTGAAATGACTTGAGGCAGAAGATTCTGATGTTTCTTTGCATCAGAATCCACTCTCTTGCTAAGCACGCCTTTAGCATTTCCCATTTGCTGGATCCAAAAGTAGTCTTTGTCAAGGCTGCTCCGTGATTCTCCCATCGATTAAACGGTGTTGCGAGCTGTGAACGCATTGTGCTCCCGAGATGGTGAGTTTTAAAGCCTTCCTCGAATTGTTTTGCCGATACATAGCGATATGGCACCTCCGGATTAGCCCAGTACTGTTCTTGATCTTTTCTTGATAAAATCTAAATTGAAAAAAAAATATGTAATCTTGATCAGTACATCACAGAAGTAAGGAACATGTTTGAACAAGAATGTAGTTGGAGAACTCACTTCTTGCAAGTAATCAGCAACTCCTTTTCTTTCAGGACACTTAAACCCCATAGATTCAAAAAACTCAAGGACGTTTTCCCGAGGGCCTTGGTAAACGATTCGGCCTTCTCCGAGAATGATGACATCATCAAAGAGCTCGAATGTCTCTGGAGGAGGCTGGGAGAAGAGAGATTAGAGCGGTTTTATCGAAAACATGGATCATTTGCTTGATGCACTTGACAATCTGAAACGTCGTTGAGCTATCTAAACCGTCTGATATGTTGTCCATGAAGAAAGCTCCGACTGGTCCCACCAACATCTCGCCTACACAAGAAAAGACTAAATCACACAACAAGAACAAATTTCAATTCCGACCTAAATACTAATAGGAAATTCCACATTAGTACCTGTTGTTACGCGTTTCTTTTGCCCACCAGAGATGCCTCTTTGCATATTATCCCCAACTACCGTATCAGCGCATGTCTCAAGCCCTAATACCTTTAAAACGTAATCCGTAACCACATTCTCCTTGTGTCCTTTCAGAACTGACGCCTGTAAAGAAGGTAACAACAACAAACCTTAGGAGTTAGTCTTCGTTTCGGCTTGGTTATTAAAAAAAAAATAAGCAGTTCCTTTTAACTTCTCTACCTAATGATATCTCTTTGGTACCTTCATTAACGCGTCGAGGTAAGGATCTGGTTTGATCTTCAAGTCTTTCTCCCGTCTCAGTAACTCGGAAAGCATATCTGTTCTCAACAATACATGTCAATATCAAAATTGGAAGGAAATACTTATAGAAATAAAGAGGAAAATGTTATCATGCATACCATATCGTGTGCCGACTCCTTGGCATTTTGCTGAAAACTGTAATGTTTCTCGAACTGTTAGCCTCGGCAAGTGAACATCGTATTGGCCGATGTAGGCGGAAGTTCTTTCAGGCACAAACTCATGCAGTTCATGCCCATTGTATGTCACTTTCCCTGTATACTTAACCATTCAAGACAACAATCTTATCATTTTCTTTAGATACATTCTATATAATTAACCAAATCAAAGTATTCTTATACTATATATTTACTTTTAGTCCACTTTCTATCTTTCCAGACAATGCTTTAAGTAGGGTCGACTTTCCAGAGCCCGGTGGTCCCAAAAGTAGACTCAGCCTATAGTAAGAGTAGATAACAAATGAGAGTTTATGCCTTTTTGTAAAATAAGAGTGTGACATGTAAATGGTGGCAAACAAAAATCTCCAGCGGATTAATATATTTTAATTTCAATTTGGTGAATAACAAAAAAAAAAACTGGAGATAATTTAGGCAAATAGCAATAATCAGGCAAAAAAACAAAATTTAAGTGCATGGATTGGCTAGGATAGTTGATGAACCTGCCGGGTTTAATGATTCCGCTAACATCCTTTAGAATGGAGATTCTCTTTGTTTGACTCCGAAGAATTCCGATTTTAGTTCCAACGCTCTAACAGAAATTAGAGGAAACAGGTGAGATCAGTGTCAAGTCATAAAAACCGGCTTTGCAAATAGGGTTTCTTGTTTCACAAGAAATCTCATGAGGAAACGGCATGTTTACTTTTGCAAAGCTGGCGTATGCGTTGATGACTGTGGGAACAGCTCTGCTGCGTTCATAGGCTTGGGCGGTCACGTTCACATCCTCAAATCGGACTTCTATCGTTGGGAGATTCAGAGAGACTCTGTTTTGTTCGTATGACACAATCAAGACAAGTTTTTAGCATCTAAAAATTAAGATGAACAGTCTTACACATTGGAAATTCAAAATGATTGAACTTTGTACCTATCGAAACGACTCTTTAGCCTCCGCAGATACTCTCCATGCCAATCCTCGTCATCCATCGTCATCACTCTATCGAAAAGCTCTCTTCTCTCCACGAAGCCCAGATCCTTCATGTCAATCTCCTTGAAAACTCCTGTGATCCCTCTCAACACGGCCTTCCTCGCCCGATCGTACGTTGGAAGACGCTGTAGCTTCTCAAGAGCCGCCAATTTCATGGCTTCCTCTTCGTCTTCTTCTTTTTCCCGGCGACTACTGCTTCTGTCGTTCATCAAGTTCTCGACTTCTGAGCTCGCTCTGTAGTGTGCCATATCGCTTCTTCTCTCTCACACCCTCTTCTTTCGTTTTCTCTCTCTTAACTCGGTCCTTAGTGATTTTCAAAAAAAAAAAAAAAAAAAAAAAACTCGGTCCTTAGTGCAATGTAATACAAGTCAACATTACCATTTGGAATATCACACACACATATGCAAATGACAAGTCCTTCTTTCTTCTTTTGAGGGTCATACATTGAATACCAGAATCTCGAAAAAAAGAATTAATTATAAGGTGTGGATTCTGATGACATTTGTGATGTAGATCTACTTTGACACTTGTTGTTACATCGATTCATATTGTTTGACAATGGAGTAATAAATTTTATTGACCAAATCTATAAACAGATCCTATACCTCACCGAAATCAAACACTTGTCTACATATATGCATGCATTAAGAGACAGAACAAAAAAGTATGCATATATGTGCATATGTGTGATTAAGACTCTTGCAATAACGAACCTTGGATTTTTCGCATTTCTAATTTAACTTGCAATAACTAACCTTGGATTTTTTCGTATTTCTAAGTTAACTTTAAGGGCTGCGTAATTATCTTCTTATTAGGGTGTTTAATTATTCATCTTATCTACGCTTAGGAATTCACGGATGAAGGGTTAAGAAAATGGGTGGGGGGAGATATAAGCATGCACCTAGAAAAACATAATATTTCAATTATTTAACAGGAAAAACTATGACCAATTTTTTTAAATAGTAATTTAATAAATTTAAAGTGAAAGAAGTATAGAAACTTTGAATAAACAACAAATATATGTGTATAGTCAATAATCAATATAGTCTCAAAAAGAGTTGGAAACAAATATAAATAATATGTAACAACTTTGAATAACTTTCATTACAAATTAATGTGGAGTTTTTGGTAACTAAATTTTTTAATGTCATAATATTTTTTTAGGAAGGTTTTCCACATCCCACAAGACCACATCATTGTAACTGTTCAAAACATTTTTAATTTACCTCTATTTAGAGAAAGAAATAGAGTTTAGAGGAAAAATTTTCTCCAATCTATCTCCATTTTTCTTTCCAGAATAGAGATACTATTTTTTTCTTTATATTTAGAAAAACTCTATTTTTTCCTCTATAATAGAGATTAACTTTTATATTTGTAAATTGGTCATCTAATTTTTAAATTTTTTTATTTTTATTTACATAACAAATATATGGATTTAATTAATTATTTATATAAGTTATTTTTATATATATTTAGTGAACAAAATCATCTCTCCAACATATATTATGAATAAATATATAATATAAAATTTCAAAACATATAATACAATTAAATATGATTTTTTACATTTCAATTTTAGTTATAGATAATTTTATAAATTAAAATATATTATATTTTATATTTTTATATGACGTAATGTAATGTTCTTTATATAATAAATGTTAAATATAAATATTATTTTAATTATATGATTTTTTGTAAAAATTAAAATAAATAGAGTTAATTTATGAATTTTATAAATAAAAAGTGTTCTTAAATTAATTATAAAAAATATTTTTAAAATACAACCGTTTTAGAAAAAAAAATAAAAAATACATTGGAGAGGAATCCACTTCTATTTTAGAAAAAAAAATATAGAAGAATACATTGGAAATGGTCTTAGAACACTTCATCTCAACAGTTTTTCTATTAATATTTTTCATATAATTTTTTAATTATTTTTTTAAAAAATTTTAAAAATAAATTCAAATTACAAGAAAACAAATATTTTTTTAAGTATAAGAGTATCTCAAAATTTCTTATTTAAGATATCTTCTTCATTCTTTTTCTCTATTTTCATTATTTTATTAAAATAGAGATTTTGGTAGTGTTCTTAAGTAAAAAAGAAAAAAAAAGAAAAAAATGATGTAGCATCAATTTTTTTAAGAATCGGTTATTCTATAAGAACCTTAAAAATCGATTCTTCAAATTTTATCTCTGATTTAATAATTAAATATATTTAAAACTCAACATAGGGTTGATTATTATTTTATTGAAATATTTAGATATTTTTAATGGAAGTGCTCTTAGATGATCATTTTAGAACAACCCTAATAGAAATATCATCACTGGAGTTTTATTAATTAATTATTAATATTTTGTATACTTTATATATATAAAGGCAGCTCCATCGGTAAAGTATCTCACTAGCGTATCTAAATTAACTAAATAATAAAATTTGATAAATTTAATTAAATTTTATTAGCTTTAAATGCTTTGATCCATTTATATCCATACACGTGTTACAAGAAGTATCTAAGAGTATCTAAACATTTCTCAAACGAGAGAAACATATCTGCTTTTTTCTCCAACTTTTTTTATTTTTTTCTTTATTATATTATTCAGATACCCTCTATATACTACATATAATTTGTAATATTTAGTTATTTTTATGTATACAATATAGACATTTTTGATGGGTGTCTTAATAATAAAAAATAAAATATAATTTTTAATAAAATTAAGTAAAAACTTATGTTAACAATTTTTAAAATATAATATATTTTCAAAAATGTAATACATAAAAACATATAAATTATCAATGGCTAGGAGAGATAGAGGAAGAGAGAGATGAAAAAAAAATGGCATATTTTTTTTTATTCTCTTGTGTCCACTCAGAGCTTGCTACATGGCTGTTCTTAACCAAAAAAAATCTTAATTTAGATATTAGTTTTAAACATTAGCCATTCATTACAATTTTTTCATTCTGTTATATTGTTAATGTAAAAACTCAGGTTCGACTTATAGAAGAACTAGGATTTGTAGGTTCAAAGAGAGATCGTTTATTAGAAGAAGCCGGAGCTTGATAGAATACAACTGTGTTTTAGGTCGTCAGAATAAGAACGCTGACCTAGAACTCTTTAAGGAAAGTAAATCAAAAGCTAGAACAATCTGATTGTTTAGTTTGCTTTAGGTCTTGATCAATGATTTTCGGATGATTTGAAAAGTCGGGGACTTCCTATATTTATAGCTGACCAGGTCGGTCTTCAACATGTTTAGAATAGGAAAGTCTTCTTGCCGACAAGAAGAATTTTCTTTTTTTCTCGGGTCGTTCGATAAATGGAAGATTTCCATTTAGAGTGCCGACCTGAAACTTGTTAGACGGGCCGACCAGATTGGACTTGTTAAAGACGGTACGAATCTCATCTCTAACCGTTAAGAGCAATTCTTTAGATCTTTACAGATCACCATTGAGGTTGGTCTTATGCGAGGCTGACTGCCTGACTCTATGAGACACGGGAAAACATCAATTTTTGTTTTTATATTTCAAAAAAAGATTGGCTTAAAAAGTTATACAAAAAAATTAATTACTTCGTATTATTCCAGAAAATATATATCAGATATTGAATATGAACGAATGTTTTTTTGACAAAATATGAACAAATGTTACTTTTAAAAATGAAATTTTATTTATTTTGATATAATTCTAGTAGTAATATAACCTCCTTCTCGAACATGGATTGATTTCCCAATTCTTAACTTCGATTTTAATCTATGTGTCAATGGGATTTACCTTCGTATTTTTCATCTATATGTTTTTAATATTTCCTAGAGTAAAACTAAAGTTTTTGGTCTCTTCGAGAAAATAAATATATAGAAAAAGTAAAGTGGAGTAATATTAATGCATTTATGTCTCTTTTGTTCGGTGTAATAATGGTTTAACGTTCAGTGTGAAATGGATATTTCACTGAAGAAAAATTGTGAATAATGGTATAACGTTAAAAAAAAAAAGTAATTGATAATTTAAAGAAACCGTTTCTTGAATATTTATGCATTTCCGATTTATGTCTTCCATGAACGTACAAAACACATCGAGATTGATTGCCACTCAGTTCATGATGAGATACAATCAGGTAATATATCACTTCATCATGTCTCTACAACTCAACAATTAGCAGATATATTTACCAAACCGCTTGGAAAGGCAGCTTATGAAGATTTCCGACACAAACTGGGCATTCTTAACTTGCATACTCCAGTTTGAGAGGGGCTAATGGGATATCAATTTGATACGAATTATATCCCATGAGTTATGCTAAAAGCGTATTTTATGTCATCATCATTATGATGTAAATTGTTATAGTTTAGGAAAGTCTGATACTCATCTTGTATTCTATATCTCTGTAATTATCTTTGTAAATAAACAAGAGAGAAAGTTCTTTAAGATTAATCTTTGATATTTTTCACGTATAATTTACTAATTTGTAACATATACTTAAATTACAGATTAAGGAATAGTCCAAACCATTTTATTAACTTTGTTTCACTGAAGCCCTGTTCGTTTGCTTGCCGCCTGCGATTGCGACCATAATCCTGCAACCACACGCTGCGTTTAGACGCAACAATTGTTGTTCGTTTGTTGGTCGCGCGTTTAGCTGCAGCGTTTAGCCGCAAGTTTGTTCGTTTATTAAACGGACGGTTAATGACAACGTTTCCTTAATTTTTGTTTGTTTGGTTAATGTTGCGGCGGAGGTTCAAAGTATGAAACGTAGATTAGCCAAAGAGCTAGATGAATCAATTAATACAAAATTTTCACATACTAAAGAGAAAGAACAAAATCGAGGTTGTGCACACACAATTTAAAATAGGAGAATCAATGAACAAAGCAAATCGAGAGATAGAATAATTGAAGCATAAAATCAAAACCAAAAGAAAACGAGAGAAGAGAGAGAGAGATCCAAGCATAAATAGAAAAATTAAAACTCTAGAAAAACAAAGAAAAGAAATTTACAAACGTCAGATGAAGATCTATCATTCTGAAATCGATGAGTGATTTAGGGTAAAAGATGGTATTTTTATAATTTAATAACAACACTAAGGTTATTTTTGTCATTTACAGATTTAATCGCAATTTCTGAATCGCAACGCTGAATTTCATCTGCGTTCAAAAAAGTCGATCACAAGACGCAGCGTCTGGTCGCAGCGATTGGTCGCAGTAAGACGCGTCAGGTAAACGAACAAGATTTAATTGCCAGTCGCAGCCTCCTGCGACAGGCAAACGAACAGACCATGAATCATTCGATAAAATTAGAAAAATACAAAAATTTAGTAATTTTTGCATAAAAAAATATGCAAATTAAAAAACCGTATAATATAATTCAATTAAGTAAAAATTAACTCTTATATTTTATACTCTATTTTTTATATTAGTTGAATTTTTTTATAATTTTAAATATAATACGAGGAATTGTGTGTTAAAACTTATAAGAATCTACTTAATTTTATATATAAACCATGATTATGACATTTAATATGTTATGCTTTAATATGGTTATAGTAGTAACTCATATGAGGATAAAATAACACTCTTGAGTTGATAAATCTGAGTTAGTTAGAAACAATTTCAACAAAAGTCAACCTTTGTGACTTTGTCATGACTCATGTGTCTAAACTCTAATGTTTGTCTCCGACTTGATCTCGTGTAAACTCATCATCACCGATTATTACCTCGTTATCCTCCTGAGCACAGTATAAAAAAAGAAATTTTCATGGTATTTTAATTTCCAATTATCTTTTTTTGGGTTGAATGAGAAAATGAATTTATGTGACCAGAGCCGGTTTGGGAGGAAAAATGTCAATCATATATAGATGATGCGGGTATTCTGGTATTCAATGTATGACCCTCAAAAGAAGAAAGAAGGACTTGTCATTTGCATACAGATGTATGTGTGATATCCGAAATGGTAATGTTGACTTGTCATTTGCATACATATGTATGTGTGATATCCCAAATGGTAATGTTGACTTGTATTTACATTGTACGAAGGACCAAGTTTTTTTTTGAGAAAGGGTTTGCAATTTAAATAACAGAGGTTACAACTATGACACATGGTCATACAGTTTTGAAAGAGTTAAAGTGGAGAAGATTAAGCATACATATGATTGAAATCATACAAGAATTTGAAACAAGCTCTAAAAGCTGAAATATTAATTAGAGCAAAGAGAGGGAAATTAGCCATAGCTACCACCACGACCTCTACGACCGCGTTTTCCTGTGACCGTTCCACTCCATTTCTTGTACTTTTTGTGATGGCTTGATAGGTCGGCCTCGTTGCGTTCTCATGATAGAAACGTAAAGAAGCGATATGACACATTACAGAGCGAGCTCAGAGGCCGAGAACTTGATGAACGACAGAAGCAGTAGTCGCCGGGAAAAAGAAGAAGACGAAGAGGAAGCCATGAAATTGGCGGCTCTTGAGCAGCTACAGCGTCTTCCGACGTACGATCGGGCGAGGAAGGCCGTGTTGAGAGGGATCACAGGAGGTTTCAAGGAGATTGACATGAAGGATTAGGGCTTCGTGGAGATAAGAGAGCTTTTTGATAGAGTGATGACGATGGATGACGAGGATTGGCATGGAGAGTATCTACGGAGGCTAAAGAGTCGTTTCGATAGGTACAAAGCTCAAACATTTTAAAGTTCTGATGTGTAAGACTGTTCATCTTAATTTTTAGATGCTAAAACTTGTCTTGATTGTGTCAAACAAACAAAACAGAGTCTCTCTGAATCTCCCAACGATAGAAGTCCGATTTGAGGATGTGAACGTGACCGCCCAAGCCTATGAACGCAGTAGAGCTGTTCCCACAGTCATCAACTCATACGCCAGCTTTGCAAAAGTAACATGTCGTTCCTCATGAGGTTTCTTGTACAACAAGAAACCCTATTTGCAAAGCCAGTTCTTGTGACTCTTGTCACTGATCTCACCTATTCGTCTAATTTCTGTTAGAGTGTTGGAACTAAAATCGGAATTCTTCGGATTCAAACAAAGAGAATCTCCATCCTAAAGGATGTTAGCGGAATCATCAAACCCGGCAGGTTCATCTACTATCCTAGCTATTTGCTTTTTTTTTTTTTTTCATTTTTTCTTTAGATTCTGGATTGTGGCAGTGCCAGAGTCAGGTAGCAAAAGAATTTCTGTGCATCAGACATCTTATGACAAACGATAGAGTATTTGTATTTAGTGGCGAAATTTTGCATGACAATTAGAAAAATAGCAACGCAAACAGAATATGATTTTCTGAGTATTTTTTTACGGGTTTATCTCTCATTTCTCTGTTGCCGGATTTTTTTCCAATTCATGCACTTAAATTGTTTGTTTGCCTTATTATCGCTATTTGCCTACTTTATCTCCATTTTGTTTTTGTTATTCACCAAATTAAAATTCCAAAATATATTAATCCGCTGGAGATTTTTGTTTGCCACCATTTATATTTTACACTCTTAGTTTGTAAAAAGGCATAAACTCACATTTGTTTTCTTCTTACTATAGGCTGAGTCTACTTTTGGGACCACCGGGCTCTGGAAAGTCGACCCTACTTAAAGCATTGTCTGGAAAGATAGAAAGTGGACTAAAAGTAAATATATAGTATAAGAATACTTTGATTTGGTTAATTATATAGAATGTATCTAAAGAAAATGATAAGATTGTTGTCTTGAATGGTTAAGTATACAGGGAAAGTGACATACAATGGGCATGAACTGCATGAGTTTGTGCCTGAAAGAACTTCCGCCTACATCGGCCAATACGATGTTCACTTGCCGAGGCTAACAGTTCGAGAAACATTACAGTTTTCAGCAAAATGCCAAGGAGTCGGCACACGATATGGTATGCATGATAACATTTTCCTCTTTATTTCTATAAGTATTTCCTTCCAATTTTGATATTGACATGTATTGTTGAGAACAGATATGCTTTCCGAGTTACTGAGACGGGAGAAAGACTTGAAGATCAAACCAGATCCTTACCTCGACGCGTTAATGAAGGTACCAAAGAGATATCATTAGGTAGAGAAGTTAAAAGGAACTGCTTATTTTTTTTTTAATAACCAAGCCGAAACGAAGACTAACTCCTAAGGTTTGTTGTTGTTACCTTCTTTACAGGCGTCAGTTCTGAAAGGACACAAGGAGAATGTGGTTACGGATTACGTTTTAAAGGTATTAGGGCTTGAGACATGCGCTGATACGGTAGTTGGGGATAATATGCAAAGAGGCATCTCTGGTGGGCAAAAGAAACGCGTAACAACAGGTACTAATGTGGAATTTCCTATTAGTATTTAGGTCGGAATTGAAATTTGTTCTTGTTGTGTGATTTAGTCTTTTCTTGTGTAGGCGAGATGTTGGTGGGACCAGTCGGAGCTTTCTTCATGGACAACATATCAGACGGTTTAGATAGCTCAACGACGTTTCAGATTGTCAAGTGCATCAAGCAAATGATCCATGTTTTCGATAAAACCGCTCTAATCTCTCTTCTCCAGCCTCCTCCAGAGACATTCGAGCTCTTTGATGATGTCATCATTCTCGGAGAAGGCCGAATCGTTTACCAAGGCCCTCGGGAAAACGTCCTTGAGTTTTTTGAATCTATGGGGTTTAAGTGTCCTGAAAGAAAAGGAGTTGCTGATTACTTGCAAGAAGTGAGTTCTCCAACTACATTCTTGTTCAAACATGTTCCTTACTTCTGTGATGTACTGATCAAGATTACATATTTTTTTTTCAATTTAGATTTTATCAAGAAAAGATCAAGAACAGTACTGGGCTAATCCGGAGGTGCCATATCGCTATGTATCGGCAAAACAATTCGAGGAAGGCTTTAAAACTCACCATCTCGGGAGCACAATGCGTTCACAGCTCGCAACACCGTTTAATCGATGGGAGAATCACGGAGCAGCCTTGACAAAGACTACTTTTGGATCCAGCAAATGGGAAATGCTAAAGGCGTGCTTAGCAAGAGAGTGGATTCTGATGCAAAGAAACATCAGAATCTTCTGCCTCAAGTCATTTCAGCTGTTTTTCAACGCGGCAATGATCGGACTCGTGTTCTCGACACAAAGGGAACATCACAGCACTGTAGAAGATGGAATCATATACATGGGAGCTATCTATCTGGAAGTGCAGATGGTTTTCTTCTTCTTGAACATGGATTGGTTTCCCAATTCTTATCTTCGATTTTAATCTATGTGTCAATGGGATTTATCCCTTATCGTATTTTTCATCAATGTTTCTATCTTCCTATCTCCTAGAGTAAAACTAAACTTTTCTGTCTCTTTGAGAAAAGAATTTAAAGAAATATTTTTGAAAAGGCAAGGTGGAGTGAAATTTTATGCATTTATCTTTCTTTTCTTCAGTGTAATATATGGTTCAAAGTTCAAAAAAAAGTAATATATATGGTTCTAGATTTAATCATCATTTGTGCTATCTTCTAATTAGCAGTTAATCGGTTTTACTTTGGTGTTTTTAGTGTTGTTCATTCCATGTATCCTTCCATGAATTTTTCTATGTATATTTCTTTGTATCCTTCCATGTATGTTTTAAGATTCTATTAAAACTCAAGATGACAAAAAAAAAGATTTAACCATCTTTATAATGTCAAAATAACAATTTCTAAATAGTATGCTGCCTTGTTTTAAAAAAACCGTTTCTTGATAATTGAAATGCAGTAATCGACTGCGTATATAATAGTGTCAAGACTCAAGAAGGGCTAAAGTGAATGTAACCTTTGAGAAAATATTATATCCGAAATACTTTAAAAAATATATAAATTCCGTAAGTGTTAAAATCAAATAGAAATACAGATAAGTGTCAAGTTGTCAGATTTCTCAAAAGATTGTATCAAATATTATAATTATAATATACCCAACAAAAGGAGCCGAGGATTATACGGTCAGTGGGTGACCAAATGAAATCTGCATGTGATGAAATAAAATTATCAACAACCATAATATAAAGGCATAATAAAGAATACCTAATTAACTAATCGCACAAATAAAAGCAAATGATATTTAATTGTAAAACAAACAAAAGCAAAAGCTCCTTCAGCACTTCCATTTTTGGGTGCATAAAGCTTTAACCATCAATGACCTCACTCTTCTTATAAATAAGGAATACTCTTCTCGCCAGGGTTTTAATTAGAGAAATAACAAGAAAAACAAAAACAAAATTAAGAAACAAGATGGTGTCTCGAGAGAAAACCGAGTCAGTGCCATCTAAATCGAGTAGTAATATACATGTAATATTCCGGTTCGCAGATTGGATAGATGTAGTTCTGATGGTACTTGGTACGGTGGGAGCCATTGGAGATGGCATGTCCACGAATGTGGCGCTAGTGTTCGCAAGCAAGATCATGAATAGCTTGGGATATGGTCAACACGATCCTCGTTCCACTACTTTCAAGGACGAGGTTCAAAAGGTTAGTCATCTTTTCATTCAAAACCAGTTCCACTGTGTGTAATTTCTACACGTGGATCACTTGGTTATATTTACTTTGGTTCATGTGCGTTGTCGGATTGGATTAATTTTGTTATCAAATCAATATTTCATATTTATTCTACTAAAACAAAAATTTCTTAATTTTGAAATAAAGAGTATAAATAAAATCAAAAATGAAAAACGAATTATTTTGATCGTTTTCTGTAAAATATATAACTCGATGACACAACATAAAAATCCATTTTAATTCCTGTTTATACTAAGGAAAAATATTGATTATAGACTATAGTATTCTTGTGTGATAAAATTTCTTAAAACGTTGATGACTTTGTTGTAAACAGTGCAGCTTATACTTTGTATACTTGGGCTTGGCAATCCTGGGAGTGGCATTTATGGGTAATGTAAAACCAGTTTTTTATTTGTTTTATAAATAAATTTGCATAGAAATCATGATGTTAAATTTTTGTGTAGAGGGGTATTGTTGGAGCAAAACAAGTGAGAGACAAGTTGAAAAGATTCGTCGAACATATCTTGAAGCTGTTCTCCGACAAGAAGTTTCTTTCTTTGACTCAGAAGATGCTTCCATTTCCGGAATCATCCACGCCATTTCTACTGATACTTCTCTCATCCAACAACTTCTTAGTGAAAAGGTATCAAATTTTGACAAAATGTTAAATTTCTTAGATGGTTAATCTGTATTGATTACAAATTATTAAGTTTAAAATTACGATTGACCTACAGTATAGTAACTTGAAACATAAAAGACAAGTATCATAAAACACTGCAAAAATAAGTCCAAGTTTAAAATATCACAAAATTTACGTTTCGGAAGGATTAGTAATAATTACGTATCTGTTTTTAAACTTTTAGCTTTTTTAAGAGATTACAAGCCATGGCCACCGCAACACTTCTTTAAGTCCCAAGGCTGATGTATGGAAAATACCTGTTTAGGAAGGGTTAATGAATGAAAGTATAAAAAACTATAATTTGTTGGAAAATTTAAAAGTCGGTGTTTATCTTTTCTATTAGAAAAATATATCAATCTTTAGTAAAAGTAATTCCACTAAGAAAAAAATATAAAATATTTTTTTTTCTTTTGTTTTTTCTTTATTTTATTATATTTAAATGTCTTTTCATATTTATCTTTTCTTATTAATATCAAAAACCTACCTTTATACCTTGCCAATTTTTTGTTTTTTTTGTTTAATCAACCCCATTTTTTGCTTTTCAATATACCGACCCACAAATTTTATTGACCTAACTTAAAACATACATATTGATATCGTTGGTACTACTGTGTATATCATATAACAAAGCGCATAATAAGTGACGTATTTTTGTAACTAATTTACAAGACAAAAATTTGTTTTAAACATTTTTTTCTCTTACTTTTTCAAATAATATATACAGGGGACAAACTTTTTCATGATGTTGAAGAAATTTATACTTCTGTTGTTATGATCTCAGGTGCCCATATTCTTGATGCACACATCAGTTTTCATCACAGGTCTCGTCTTTGCAGCATACTTCTCATGGAGACTAACCATCGTGGCCCTCCCAACACTTGTTCTTCTTCTAATCCCAGGACTGATCTATGGCAAATACTTAGTTTACTTATCTAAGAAATCCTTTAAGGAATACGCGAAAGCAAACTCGATCGTGGAACAAGCTTTAAGTTCTATCAAGACCATTTTTTCATTCACGGCCGAGACTCAAATCATCAAAAACTACTCAGAGATCTTGGAAAGACACAAGAAGCTTGGGCTAAAGCAAGGTGTCGCAAAAGGTTTGGCTGTGGGAAGCTCAGGAATTTCATTCACCATTTGGGCTTTTCTTGCTTGGTACGGAAGCAGATTGGTTATGCACAAACAAGAAACCGGTGGACGCATTTACGCAGCAGGGATCTCTTTCATCTTGAGTGGCCTGTAAGTAAGTGAATCTTTGCATAAGATAAATAAATGTTTCACAAAAGTATTATTTTAAAAATAGAGAGAGTAATTTTGTTTGTTGAATGAATAAATGATGCAGTTCTCTAGGGATGGCACTTACAGAAATTAGATATTTTTCAGAGGCTTCAGTTGCGGCGGCTCGAATATATTCAAGGATCGATAGAATTCCAGAGATAGATGGTGAGGACACGACAAAAGGATTCATACCAAAAGAAAAAATGGAGGGAAGAGTAGAGTTTGAGCATGTAACCTTCAGATATCCTTCTCGTCTTAAATCCATAATTCTCAAGGACTTCACTCTCAGAGTCGATCCTGGGAAAACCGTAGCTCTGATGGGAGCTAGTGGGAGTGGTAAATCAACAGTGATCGCATTGCTGCAACGGTTCTATGATCCAACAGAAGGGTTTGTGAGGATCGATGGGTTTGACATCAAGACCCTTCAGTTGAAATGGATGAGAGGGAAAATCGGTGTTGTGAGTCAAGAGCATGCTTTGTTTGGGACGTCCATAAAGGAAAATCTAATGTTTGGGAAAGATAATGCATCAATGGATGAAGTCATTTCAGCTGCAAAGGCTGCTAATGCTCACAACTTTATAACACAATTGCCTGATGGTTATGAGACAAAGGTATGTGTGTGTGTGTAAAGACCATCAGATTTCAGTTAATTTTCTGACTTGAATATAAATCTTAGTGTTACATCATAACATTGACATGAAACAGATAGGCGATCGTGGAGGGCTTTTGTCGGGAGGTCAGAAGCAACGTATTGCAATTGCGCGTGCGATTATTAGAAATCCGGTGATATTACTTCTAGATGAAGCAACAAGTGCACTAGATGGAGAATCTGAAACATTGATTCAAAATGCACTTGATCAAGTTTCCGCGGGACGAACTACACTGGTACTTAAAACCATTATATATTATATTTCTTACAACAAAATGGTGATACATTGAAAACATTAGTACAAACTACAATTATGACATCTCATGGTCTATATATGTCTATTTATTTTTGTAATATAATGCATATATTATTGGAACAGGTGGTGGCGCATAAGCTTTCAACAGTTAGAGGAGCGAATCTCATTGCTGTGTTAGAAAATGGTTCCATTAAAGAAATGGGTTCTCATAAAGATTTGATGACGAAAAACAACCATTACTCAAAACTTGTAAAACTTCAAAGACAAGTCAGCCATGAACATCAGCAAGATGGGGTCAAAACTCTTGAGAGACGACAATCTTGGTCAGCCAAGAACAGTTTCAACAGGCTAAGCATAAGGTCTACTCCTGATCTCACTGCTTCTCCAAACACATTCAAGAGAATTCATGCAGCAGGAACCGATGATAATTTCCCTTCTACTTCTTTCACTCGGCTTCTTCCGTTGGTTTCCCCTGAGTGGAAATCTGCTCTCGTTGGTTGCATAACAGCTGCAGTTTTTGGTGCAATCCAACCAGTTTACGCCTTAAACATCGGTGGTATGATCTCTGCTTTTTTCGCCAAAAGCTCACGAGAAATGCAGGACAAGATACGAATTTACTCCTTAATCTTCATTTCACTCACCTTTATCTCCATCACCCTTAATCTCCTTCAGCATTACAGCTTTGCCAAAATGGGTGAAAGACTAATGCAAAGACTTCGGTTGAGAATGCTAGAAAAGATCTTCACCTTTGAGCCCGCATGGTTTGATGAGGAAGAGAACTATAGCGGTGAGCTTTGTTCAAGACTTAGTAATGAAACATCTGTTGTGAAGTCAATAGTAGCCGACAGAATCTCCTTGCTAGTCCAGACCATTTCAGGTGTTACAATCGCTATGATCATCGGTCTACTAGTTGCTTGGAAACTCGCGTTGGTCATGATCGCTGTCCAGCCTCTCTCTGTCCTCTGCTTCTACACCAAAAAAGTTTTGCTCTCCAGCATTGCTCACAACTACGCCTATGCTCAAAATCGTAGCTCACAGATTGCATCAGAAGCTGTTTACAACCACAAGATTGTTACATCCTTAGGGTCCACGAAAAAGACTATAGAAATATTTGACAAGGCTCAATATGAGGCGAGAAGAAAGGGTAGGAAGGCAGCATGGCTCGCAGGGTTTGGGATGGGATCGGCGCAGTGCCTTACCTTTATGACATGGGCGTTAGACTTTTGGTATGGAGGAGTGTTGGTTCAAAAGGGAGAAATCTCGGCCGGTGATGTATTCAAGACGTTCTTTGTATTGGTTAGCACTGGTAAGGTTATTGCGGAGGCAGGAAGCATGACCTCTGACCTTGCCAAGGGCTCCGCCGCCATTTCTTCCGTCTTCAAGATCCTTGACCATCCTTCACCTCAAGTAAGTTACAAACATCCATTAACAATTCATAGATACCTAGAAAACTATTCTTAGTATATGATGCAATAAAAATGTTATTTTTTCTAATGGATATGTGAAGGACGATACAAACCGGGGAGCAAAGTTTGAGACAATAACCGGGAGAATAGAGCTAAAGAAGATTGATTTCTCTTATCCAAACCGGCCCAGTATTCCGGTGCTCCAACAGTTTTCCTTGGACATCAAGCCTGGAACTAGCATTGGCTTAGTCGGGACATCAGGGTGTGGAAAATCAACAGTGATCGCTTTGATCCAACGCTTTTATGACGTGAAAAAGGGGTGTGTGAAAATAGATGGCGTGGATTTGAGAGAAATAAATATAAAATGGTATAGAAAACATACTGCACTAGTGAGCCAGGAGCCAGTTGTTTATTCTGGAAGTATCCGAGATAATATTATGCTTGGACGGCCCGAAGCGACCGAGGATGAAGTTGTTGAGGCTGCAAAAGCCGCCAATGCTCATGATTTCATCTCGTAAGTATTCTTCTACTTTTACTACTAAAACACAAATCAGAAAAACAAATCAACAAGTTGCGGCTACATAACATTGTTAACACATTCTTTTTGTCTTTTTAAAGGGCAATGGAGAAAGGATATGAAATGCAGTGTGGAGAAAGAGGAGTGCAACTTTCAGGTGGTCAAAAACAGAGGCTAGCTATCGCTAGAGCCTTTCTGAGAAACCCTGTGATACTTCTACTTGACGAGGTTACGAGTTCCTTGGACTCTGACTCAGAGCAGGCTGTTCAGGAGGCTTTAGCTCGGATCATGGCTAGCCGGAAGATGACTACTGTAGTAGTAGCTCACCGCCTTAACACCCTGAAGAAGTTAGACCGCATCGCGGTGATTGCAGATGGAACTATGGTGGAGACAGGGAGATACGACCGCCTGAAGAACAATGGAGACCAGTTCTCAAGACTTGTTCATGCTCATGATCTCAAATCTTGAAAAAAAATTCTTCAGAATAAGATTAATTATGGACTGAATAAAGTTATATTGTGTACTATTACTTTTTTTTTTCTTCTCAAAATTTTGTACCAATACTTGATATGAAATTTAGATATCTTAATATGTCCAGTAACTTATACAAAATATGTTGTTTGATACATCTTAACTTACAGAGTTTAAAGTAAACATGTCTAAAACGACTGAAAAAAATAATAAACATTTCCAACTTAAACCCGAACTTTTGACTAGTTTTATAATTGTGCTCTTATTTGAAAGAAAATCTTTCAAAGTATTCTAACTTTTGTAAATTTATCATCCATTTCTGATAAATGTAAAATATTGTCTACTAATAAAAAATTTCGCAGTAATTAAATTACGAATAACATGTAATTTTTTAATGAATTGTACAAAATTCAAACCAATAAATTGTCAAATTGATGATTTGGACTTTTAATCTTATCAATTTCATTTTGTTTCTGACAAATTAACAAGTAAAAAAAAATGTGATCGTCTTCTTTTATTTTTCGAAAATATATGGTAGATTTACAAAAATTGATTACTTGAGGGGTTTTGTTTTGCAAATAAAAACTTCTTTTTCCTTCGTTCGTGTAAAAATGATTGGTACAGAAATTGCCAACAAGGCAACAATTCACCAGAAATAAATGGGAACGCAGTGACCATAAACTTTATCAAGAGATCTAATGGCTAGCGTTGGTCAGCTCTCCGGCCACTTTTACCGGCCAATTCTCACCGCCGTTGGAAGTGATAGCCGAAGGCATGTAACCACCCATTTCCTCCCTGTCCCGCGGCGGCGCAACTTAACGTCCCGGCAATGTCCGAGTATGAGTCTTAAGGTGGGAAACGAAACGTCTTCGACGGTCGACATGGAACAGCTCGTCGGATTCCTATACAAGGATCTTCCTCACCTTTTCGACGACCAAGGAATCGATCGGACGGCGTACGATGAGCGCGTGAAGTTCAGGGACCCAATCACCAAGCACGACACTATAACTGGATATCTCTTCAACATTTCTCTCTTGAAGAATATATTCACTCCTGATTTTCAACTTCACTGGGCAAAACAGGTCTTTGCTCATTTCTCAACTTCACATTGTTTTTTTTCGAAAGTTTCTTCTCTCATTTGTTTTAGTCTACTGATTCTGATGCAAAGTCGAATACTTTAATACCCCTCTCAAGATGTGATTCCCTAAAGGCTTGATTTTTACTAGTGTTCAAGTTTGTGCTGAAATGGAATCGAAAAGAAGTATAGAATGGTTGCTTAGCGCTAATTGCTCTGATACTGTATTAGCGTTTGTTAAGATAAACTCTTTCTCACTGATTGTAATTTAGAAACAGAGGGGAATGAAGCTGACCAATGATAAACGACCACTCTAACTACCTGTTTACACATTAGTACAAAGTATATGCTTTTGGTACCATAAGTTATAAATTTTTATGCTAGACTGATGAAACTGTTATAGACAGCTCCATACGAGATAACGACTAGATGGACTATGGTGATGAAGTTCTCGCTTTTACCATGGAAACCAGAGCTTGTCTTCACAGGGACATCAATCATGGCTGTTAATCCAGAAACTAAGAAATTTTGCAGCCATCTGGTATGGTTTGGCATCTCTTTATCTTATCCGTTTCCTTTTCTTTTGTTTTGAAATCTCTTCTGGTGTGGTCTACTTATGAACAAGTTGATGTGCAGGACTTGTGGGACTCTATCAAAAACAATGACTACTTCTCTTTCGAAGGTCTTGTTGATGTATTTAAGCAGGTGGCTTTTCTCATTTTCCTTTCTTGGCATGAATTGATCTTCTCTTACAAGTGAGTGTTATAGTTTTACTCTTTCTATTGCAGTTACGGATATATAAAACGCCGGACTTGGAAACTCCAAAGTATCAAATACTGAAAAGAACAGCAAACTATGAGGTCACATATCTTCCCTTGTTGGTTAAATTTGTATTGGCTAAGTGTAAATTGTTTATGTAAATGGGAAAACGTGATGCTTGACCTGAAACTCGATTTAATTGTTTGTGCAGGTCAGAAAGTACGAACCTTTCATAGTAGTGGAGACAAACGGTGACAAGCTTTCTGGCTCTTCAGGTTTCAACAATGTCGCTGGGTAAGAGTTGATGCCATTTTTTGTTAGTCTATAAATTCTTCTGGCATTGTTGTGACAAATGTTACCTTATGAAGCTACATATTTGGGAAAAACTCGACGATGGAGAAAATACCAATGACAACTCCAGTGTTTACACAAGCAACAGATGCTCAACTCTCTTCCGTGTCAGTACAAATTGTTATTCCATCAGGAAAAGATCTCAGCAGGTAAAGCTTATCGTCATAGGTAGTTTAGTCGACATTACTGTGATGGGACTGAGTACTGAGTAAAAAGTGTTTCTTTCTTGCTTTTTCCTTGTAGCTTGCCGATGCCTAATGAAGAAAAGATAAACTTGAAGAAGATGGAAGGCGGTTTTGCTGCGGCAGTGAAATTCAGTGGGAAACCGACAGAGGATGTTGTCCGAGAAAAAGAGATCGAACTGAGAAACAGTTTGAGCAAAGATGGTCTTAGAGCTAAGATGGGTTGTATGCTTGCCCGTTACAATGATCCAGGACGGACATGGAACTTCATAATGGTATAATTCCAAGATCTGTCACTCTTATTTGTGTCATATGTATCATCTTTGTCAGTATAATCATCATGACACACCCAAATGATCTTTATTGATCATTTACTATGAAGTCTTTGGCTCTAAGCTGATATTTCTGTAATTGCCCTTCATTTTGCAGAGGAACGAAGTTATCATATGGCTTGAGGAATTCAGTCTGGATTAGATCTCTGCTTAGCCAAGCCTTACCAACGTACCATAATGAATGTAGAGGTTCATCAGTGTACTTTTTTTACGTATGCAGTCATTGTAAGATCACCACATTCCGAAGATAGAAAAGTTGTATACTGTAGACACAATCCTGTAGAGTACAAAAAATTGGCGAAATATTATGCAGTTGCATTTTCGTAAATACACAGTGCACTGAACTGCTCGTGTGTTAAAGAACAGTGTGTTATTGTGCAAAACAGAGTGTTACTGGAAATAACATGAAAGGGGCAATATTTTAGGGAATATATGCTCTCAACAACAATAAGAAACGAAAAGAGATAAACTTTGACTTGACTTGGAAGTCGAAACGTCGTCGCTTCAACTTGATCCACTTCCAGTTAGCAAAACAATATTCATTCCAAGTCCTACCCATAAAAAAATTTCTTCACTGCTCCATAAAAAATTTCCGTTCAGCCGCCCAAATCAAGAAGCAATGCCACTCTCACTGGTTCAAGCCGCATCAGTGTCCTACTTCAAATCCCAGTCAACGATTCCTACTCTCTTCAAGCCCTCTGCTTTACTTCTTCAAAAGTCCATCTTTCCTGATTCCAAGCTAACCCTCCACCGGATTTTCCACTACGCCACAACTTCAAAGAAAATCTCAAATGGGTCTGCGCGTGCTTCCTTGCTTGAGAGCCCTGTCTTATGGGCTGGTCGAATTTGCGTCTTTTACGCGCTAGTCAAAGCTGGTTTAGCTGGATCCAAGTCTAACCCCATCGTTTCTGGTTTAAAATCGATTTTGACTGACTTTCTCTAGGGTTCTTTGAAATGGTTTTCGCTTCTATCTTTTTTTTTGATTTTATGTTTGTTGGATCATCTCAGGTTTGGAAAGTGGTGGTGTTGATGCTGAAGATGATGGTGCGGATCTTGGTTTCTCAAAGTGGCTTCAGAACATCAAGGGCACATCAGGTTAGTTTTTCAACACTTATTATGGCTCGCTCTGTGTCCAAGTCTAGAGCTTTTGATCCCCTTTTTTTTTAGAGATTGAGATGGTTTAGTCAATGGTTTAGTAAGAATAAACAACCTTCTATAGATTTCAGCTATAGTTTCGAATTTCGATGTCAATGTTGAGTATGAGACAAATCTTTTATGTATTTTATATGCTCAGGAAGGGATGCAGCTGATAAGAGGAAGCTGGTGAGCAAATGGCACCCGACGACAAAAGGAACACTTCGAAGGAACTACAGGGTACCTTCCAAAGGCGAAGGAAACCGTCTGCTCAAATCCATTGCCTCTCTTCTCTCAGATGATGACCACTTCAGAGATGCAACATCTCACAAGGTAACGATACACACACGTGTTGTAGTAATAATCTTCACTTGTTTCTCTGTCTGGAGTTCGGTAAAAGAACCAAATTGGGATACTACTGCAGGGTTGTCAGATACGGCGTGAGAGTGCGCACGGACAAAGCGTATGTTGCAACAACGTGAGAGCTCTGTTTGATGAGTTACCGACGCCACATCTGGTGGTTGAGATCACTCCTTTTCCAGCTGGCCCTCTTACAGAGAATGATTACCTTAAGGCCGAGAAGCTGGAGAAGGTTCTTAGGTCAGGCCCCAACATTTGAACCCTCTGGTACTCAGAGAGAGTGTTCTACTATGTGTCTCATTCCGAAATCTGTACATACTCTACTATCTTTTGACGCTATAAAAGTGTTAGTTACTTGCCAAGCGTATATTATTACCATTATTAAAGATCGTTTTAAGCTAGAGATAATTTCTAAATTTTCTGCACGCAAGGATCTATGTTGAATAAGATAGTTAATGTGTAGCTCAGGCCATCGTCAATGAGATTACCACCAAGATAACAAAACAAGTGAAGCTAATTGCTATTGCATTTATACATGGAGAATGACAAACGTATTCTTTGAAACTCCTGTGTGGAAAATTATATCCATTGGTTTACCACAACAATGAAAACACACCAATGGGTTAAGCGTCACTAGGTGAAAAAGGGTCATATACTTGATGCACACCGCCGTTGAACCGGTGACGAATCTGTGGCTGGCCACTTGGGTTCAGGTTATCATGATGAAACACTGGTCTTGGAGGGAAATGAGCAGAATGCTGCGGGAATTGAGATCCAGGGAAGCTCCTAGGCATCATCTGCGGCAACGGACGTCCAAAGCTCGGCAAGTTAGAAGATCTCTCGTTACCATGATAGAGTGCAGGCGGGTGGCTCATGGGTTGATCCATCTGCCTGCCAAAGTGCTGTGATCTTGCGAAACTTTGCCCAAAATGTTGAGAGGCTGGGGTGACGGATGGTGCTTGAAATGCCAGAGGAGGGAGATGACCGGATTGAGAGTTGGGTCTAGGAGATATCTGTTGCTGTTTAAGGAAACCGAAATCCCCGTGAGATGGCCTATGGCCTGAATTTGTGGGGGGATTTATGAATGTAAACGTAGGAACAGGACCTGCGAGCCTGCCAGGAATATGTGCTGACACTGACATGGGACGCAGAGAAACCACCAGAAGCATATTATGTTAGATGTTTCAGATTGATACTAGAGGAAAAGGGAATTGATGGAAGTTCAGTACCTGGCTGATGAGCTACCGGATGTGGAGTGAAGTTAGGAGCCAGAGGCCGTATTGATTGGGCAATGTTGCTTGAGACTATGTCTGGCAACGGCGTTGGTCTAAAGACACTGCTAGGTACAGGTGGGAAAGTCAATAATGTCGACGGCCTCATTGTAGATCGCGGTCCGATTGGTTGTACCTGACTGCCGGAATATGGAGACGCAGTCGAAAGACCCGGTTGAGCAAACGGTCCTTGTGAGGCAGCCACGGAGTAGGGCCTTGGTGTGTTTGAAAGGTTAAAAGAGAACAAATCTGGATGACGAGGGAGTTGAAAATCAGGACGTAATGATGTGTTATGAGGGATTGGAAGTGGTTGCTGGGGAAAAGGAGGATTGGGGTTCATAGAATTGGTTAGCAGTCCTTGCTCCTGGATACGATTACCAAGACTTGGAGCAGAGGGATTAAGAGGTGGATAAAAGGGAACTTGATTTGAAGCCAATGGAAAAGAGGAACCATGCTCTTGGAATTGGCTTTGTGGAGGTTGTACAGAGCAGTTCGTTGGCTGTTCGGAGCTTGGGTCTGTAGCAGTCGTGTTGCTGTCGCCTGGAATGGCTGTGATGTCTTCAGATTTGGGAGATGGAGGAGCAGTGCCAGCTCCTGAATTTTCCTACAAGGGAAAATGATACAATCTGAGAATCATTCGGAAAATGGAGACTATAAATAACAAATGCTATATCATACTTCTTGCTGTCCTATAAAAGCTTTAGGAACTCACAGACACTGATGAGATAAGCAGCTCAATTACAGCAATAGCTGCATCCACTTTTTCGTAAGTGTCAGATGATATCTGAAAATATAACTCTTGCCAAGACGTCTGGATCTCATTTTCATCTGAAGGAGAGAGCTCAACCTGCACATAGGAAATAAACCCTTGCAATAAGAATACTGAGAATTTCAAGGACCAGCACGGAGAGGCAGAATAACAATAATGAGAGTCTGTTGTAGTTATCTCGATGATAGTTTATTCCACTATTTACCTTCTCTCCTCCTGTTTTAGTACCAAAAATTTGAACTTTGGCTCCAGTCTCCTGTTCCCATAATGAAAATACTTAGCTCTTATACAGAATATGATTGAAAGGTAATCAATTTGTGTTGGGAAGCAAGGAGGAAATCCAAGAAAGCGAAACAGAAGGCATATAAAAAGGAACTATAGCTGCGACCACAGTAAAAACATTTGTAAGGGACTTACTTTCTCGAGCCGCTTCTGAGTATCACCTTGCGAACCAAATATGAGACTTAAAAAGCTAAAGTCAGAATGTTCTTTGACCTGCAAAGGCACAGGTCCATACAGTATTAGCCTCGAAAAGCTGAGTTGTTGTATGACTAAGAAAACAGAATCCAAAAGATGTTGTGCAGGTTACCCTATCAAACCCGCAAGTGATACATAAAAAAATGGCGGGACAAAAAATAAAAAGTCATTGAAATGGCTTGCTAGTATTCCATTCTTTACTTTGATTTAAACCAAAGTTACAAAGACAATAACTTTTCAACGCTCTCTCAAGAAACTGCATGAGCCATCTCTAAAACAAATGCAAGATTTGATAAAGATTTAACCCTCTACTCCAACCCAATAAGACGAACTTACATTGATCGGCAATCTAGCTTCCTTCAGCAATGGCTTATAATCAGGTGGAGCCTTGTACCTGGGATTCAACTCGAGTATCTCCCCTAGAATTAAAAAAGCTACATGTCACTCAAAAGAAAGCGATTTTGAAGATGGAATGATGAAAAATTCAACATACCAATTACTTCACGTTTTTCTAACTCCAGATGTTCAGCAATCTTGATCCAAAAAACACATAGATGATAGAAAACAGACACTGAGCTCCTAAATAGCTAAAGATAAAGAATCGAAATAAGAACAAAAAAGTGCCTGAAAAATCACTTACATGACTATTGTTTTGGTAAGGCAATGACCTTGTAAAGGCATTCTCTGGAGCTAAAGCCGGCTCTCTACTAGTCTCGGCTTCGATAGTTCCTGATTCCAATTGCTGTGTGATTTGATCCAAGCGTTTCTGCTCATAATCAAAACACACATGAAGACACCACTTGGAGTTTAGTACCAGTGTACAAGCTAACATTTTTCAATTGCGAAAAACTTGTGAATGTCTCTACAAAATTTGTGCTGAAGCAATCGATTGATTCAAGCATCAAACCAAAAGTAGATGAAGAAGCCTTCAAGTATACATTACCTGGTAAGCTAAAGCTCGTCCCTTCTTGGCTGCAGTATCTTGTGTCAAATCAGGTCCCCATTTACTCTTCCTCTTCCCAAGCTTCACGAGCAGTTCATTATCCGCATCGGAACCTCCCAGGGTTTTCCCACGTTGAAAAATCGGGATTAGTGATCCAGATAGCTTGTTTTTAGGGATAACGAATCCAGACTTGGCACCAAACATTGAGATCTTCGCGCCGCTAGTAGATGTCATCTCCGAATGTTGGGGGAGTAACGCTTGCGGGCGGAGGGATCGTCAAATGAAGGTGAATCCGCGGTGGAGATATTCTTCGCCGTCGATCTGAGCTCAAGTCACGTCGCCGATGGCGATTGCTCTCGTCGGTAAGGGTTTCGAGAAAGGGGTTTCTGTTTCTTTTTTTTTTTTGCAATTGTATTTAATATAAAATTAAAAATACATCGCTCCACTAGATGATGATGATCAGTGCCATTCAGAGAAGGAGAAGAAATATGAGAAAACGAAAAGCGCCAAAAAAATTGTATCGGAAAGTTTAGATAATCATATAGTAACGTGGGGAAAGGAAGAATATTGTTGGATTAAGAAGCTCGGGAAGCAAATCTGTTCGAGGAAATATGCAGAAACCAAGCCTAATTGAATTTTCAATTTTGGTTCGGGATTGGTTCGAAGATATCACATTTTGGCTTGAAAGGCGCAAAGCCTATGAACCCACTCGACATCACAAACTGAGAAACAAAGTAAAAATCTTCGTACTCAATTTATTTTGTCTTGATCAACTTATTTTATAAATGCTAACTTATATATTATGGATTAATTTACAGCAATTAATTTATTTTAGATTAATCATTTTATTTTACAACAATCAATTTATATTTGATAACAATCGATATATTTGACAACAATTCACTTATTTTGAATTAGTAAATTTATTTTACAACAATCAATTTATATTATAATAAGCAACTTTTTTTATAATAATACTTATTTGACAACAGTCAAATTATATTACAACAGTCTATTTATTTTGGGTTAGTTGACTAATTACAACAGTTAATTTATATTTTAAATTAGTCGATTTTATTTAACAACGTCGACATATATTACAATTTACAACAATCTACTTATTTTGGGTTGAGAAATCATGTTTTTTTGTTAAAATCGTAAAACCACCAAAACTATGAAATCACATTTTCCTGATAAAACTGTAAAATTACATTTTTCTGTTAAAATAAAAAAAAACTTGTTTTTGATTTAAACTGCAAAATTGTTTTTTCCTACCAAAACCACAAAATCTCATTTTCCATCAAAATCGTAAAATCACGTTTTCTTGCCAAAATCGCAAAACCATATTTTTTCATTAAAGCCGTAAAATCATCTTTTATATCAAAGTTATTTAATTAATAAATATATTTTACATCAAATTAAAATAAATCTAAAATAGTTAATATTAAGATTACAAAAATGATTATATGAAAATATGAGTATTTTGATCATTTTGTAATTAAAATCATCTAAATGAAGATATGAGTATTTTGATCATTTTATATTACAACAGTCTATTTATTTTGGGTTAGTTGACTAATTACAACAGTTAATTTATATTTTAAATTAGTCAATTTTATTTAACAACGTCGACTTATATTACAATTTACAACAATCTACTTATTTTGGGTTGAGAAATCATGTTTTTTTGCTAAAATCGTAAAACCACCAAAACTATGAAATCACATTTTCCTGATAAAACTGTAAAATTACATTTTTCTGTTAAAATAAAAAAAATCTTGTTTTTGATTTAAACTGCAAAATTGTTTTTTCCTATCAAAACCACAAAATCTCATTTTCCATCAAAATCGTAAAATCACGTTTTCTTGCCAAAATCGCAAAATCATATTTTTTCATTAAAGCCGTAAAATCATCTTTTATATCAAAGTTATTTAATTAATAAATATATTTTACATCAAATTAAAATAAATCTAAAATAGTTAATATTAAGATTACAAAAATGATTATATGAAAATATGAGTATTTTGATCATTTTGTAATTAAAATCATCTAAATGAAGATATGAGTATTTTGATCATTTTATATTACAACAGTCTATTTATTTTGGGTTAGTTGACTAATTACAACAGTTAATTTATATTTTAAATTAGTCAATTTTATTTAACAACGTCGACTTATATTACAATTTACAACAATCTACTTATTTTGGGTTGAGAAATCATGTTTTTTTGCTAAAATCGTAAAACCACCAAAACTATGAAATCACATTTTCCTGATAAAACTGTAAAATTACATTTTTCTGTTAAAATAAAAAAAAACTTGTTTTTGATTTAAACTGCAAAATTGTTTTTTCCTATCAAAACCACAAAATCTCATTCTCCATCAAAATCGTAAAATCACGTTTTCTTGCCAAAATCGCAAAACCATATTTTTTCATTAAAGCCGTAAAATCATCTTTTATATCAAAGTTATTTAATTAATAAATATATTTTACATCAAATTAAAATAAATCTAAAATAGTTAATATTAAGATTACAAAAATGATTATATGAAAATATGAGTATTTTGATCATTTTGTAATTAAAATCATCTAAATGAAGATATGAGCATTTTGATCATTTTATATTACAACAGTCTATTTATTTTGGGTTAGTTGACTAATTACAACAGTTAATTTATATTTTAAATTAGTCGATTTTATTTAACAACGTCGACTTATATTACAATTTACAACAATCTACTTATTTTGGGTTGAGAAATCATGTTTTTTTGCTAAAATCGTAAAACCACCAAAACTATGAAATCACATTTTCCTGATAAAACTGTAAAATTACATTTTTCTGTTAAAATAAAAAAAACTTATTTTTGATTTAAACTGCAAAATTGTTTTTTCCTACCAAAACCACAAAATCTAATTTTCCATCAAAATCGTAAAATCACGTTTTCTTGCCAAAATCGCAAAACCATATTTTTTCATTAAAGCCGTAAAATCATCTTTTATATCAAAGTTATTTAATTAATAAATATATTTTACATCAAATTAAAATAAATCTAAAATAGTTAATATTAATATTACAAAAATGATTATATGAAAATATGAGTATTTTGATCATTTTGTAATTAAAATCATCTAAATGAAGATGTAAATTTACAGCCAAACTAATCAAACAAGCAAATATACATTTAGATACATCATCTAAATGAACAATTGAAAATAGAACGAATAAATTGAGATGAAGCATTTGGACAGAGCAAATGAAGTATTTGTTTGAAAATAATAGATGAGAAAATAAACAGGTCATAGAGATCAAATAGCTTGATCCAATGGAGAATCTCTAAATATAAAGAATAAGAACCTACTCTTTTTTACTTGTACCAATAAACAAGGATATTTGGTAAAGTAGTAAAAAAATAGAGATCATGGGCATTTCTTGTAAAGTTTTACAAAAATTAAGTTTTAGTTTTCCTCAATTAACTTGACCCGTGGCGAGTACGATCAAGATTGTGTTCTTCGATCAAAAACGAATATTTTTATCATACTCCTCATTCCAAGAGTTTCAGTTTCACTAGAAAAGCCGACATTTCTCCTCTAATCCTACATGAATCCACTAAATATCAAGTTGGGGATTCATATTTATATCTTTACAGAAATCAAAATGTAATCATCACTTTTTCTCCCGTAACATCAAACTCAGCATCCAATGATGCTTGTATATTTATGACTTTAAACATCGGAGTGCGTCTTCCCAACGATATTTGGAGAATGGTGAAAAAATCACATAGTATATGTTTGTCGGCGACCTAACATTAGTAAATGTTACTCCACGTCGAATAAATTCTAGCTTTCAATGGATTCCGAAAATGATCAGTTCCTTAATGATTTTTTTTCATAAAAGTATTTTTTTCTCAAATTTTACGGAATTACAGTTTTAGGTTTTCTTTAGATGTTGATCATACACAAGTAACAAACAAATACCACGTCTGCATGCGACACTTGTCCGTCCGCTACTAACAAAACCGATGTATGTCGTATTAGAGAATACAACACAACGCAACGTTCGTAAAGAAAGAGACATGAGATGGAATTTCCATTGAAGGGGCCAACAAACAAAGAAAGAAAGGAGTGGAAATGAGGAAAGGCTCTTGAGGCAGTGACTTACCCATAAAGCCCTATACTTTTGGGACCCCATCGCTACAGCCACGTGACCACGATTCCACCGCCAGCTCGCATTGTCTCTCCTTGTGGACCCTTCCCTAAAAGTCGTCCTTTGCTTTTTTTTTTTTTCTTCTTCTTCTTCTTTAATTCTGCGCATTAAACTTTCAAAAAAAATATATGACCCTTTTTGTCAACGATTGTGTCCACTATATGTATATATTTTTAGTTTAATGTTATCGTTTGCATCCTCTATTTGTTTACTCATTATACATCTAACATTCTTAATTTCTCTTTTTGTTATCGTTGTAGTGATAAGATAATTTGGTTTTCTCTGTTCAGTATAGAGATGATATATATATAGAATATGTTGGCCGTCTTTGCTTCAGGATTACGTCAACGTCACCAACCCATTTTTTTTTTGGCGGTGTGTGTCTTCTTAACTAACAATATCTATTACACAATTTAGTTTGGATGTAAACCTTTTAACCAATGCTTTGGTCAATAGTTTATTAACACATAAATCTCTACATACAGAAGGTTGCCACTTGAAGCAAAGCCGGCAAAATTAAGGAAGACCAATCTCAATACTTACAGGAAGATGAGAGTGTAGTTGGAATTTAGGTGAACAACATAATTGCCCTTTTTGTGCCGGAAAAAATCTAACTCCAAACCAAACCATAAAACTCTCATGTAATAAATAACTACAATCATTTAGTATGTACTATTGTACATTTGTACTTAGGATAAGAGTTGTATACATACAAGTCACAACTCACCACTAACGAGTAGACAAGTGTAGTTGCACACACAAACACAAAAAAAAAGCAGACATGTGCATTTTGGGTCGGACCACCGATCCTATATGTTCCCGACTCAAAATTACTTAAATGAGACATTGGTGTTGGTCTCCAATATTTGTTAGATTATTAATATTAAAAATAACTCCCAAAATTATTTTAGTTATAATAAAGAGTCTTTGTTTCTTTTTTTATATTCATATTTATAACTATTTTTAAAAATATATCTAACAATTTCTAATTTTAACTTTATTTTTTCTCATATTTCTAAATTTTCAAAATTGATCCTACTTTTCAAATAATAATAATATTGCTTAGTGATTAGTGCAAGAAGTTAATTCATCTGTATCTTAGATTCTATCTCTTTTGGAAATGATGATTTATGTTCTGTTTTAATATTATCACAAATTTAATTCCGGCCCATAAAAATATACAAATTTTGATCCAAAATTTACGTTATTCAAAAATTAGAATATCTCTTTAGATAAGTATCCGAGTCACTAAAATTAACCATTTTTAATATTTAAAAATTACTTAAAATTGTTTAAATTTTTGAGATATATAATCCAAACTTCCCCAAAAGTAATCCAAAATAATAATTTGTTTTTGTTCAATATCATCCAAAATCCGAAATACATGAACCTTAATCCATCCAACCTTTACATGTATACAATCTGCCATCCACATTATCCGTTTTCTACAGGTACACATTGGGTAATAATCTTGGATATCTTAAATATTTTTACCCCTATTATTCTCATTCTATATATCAGAAATGAAACAAAACTACTTTTTGTAATAAATAATTGGAATGATTTGGTATGTACATAGATAGTTAGATACATAGACAACGCACTATTAAAGAGCAGAGCTAATTGGCACATGCAATAAAGTAACAATATTGATCTCATTTCTCTCCACCACTTTTTTTTTGTCAGAAACTCATTCTCTCTCACAGAACGAAAGAGAAGAGGGTTAAAACGGGAAAGAGTGAAAGTAAAGTCACGTCGGTCCGTTTTGGTCCTGAGAGAGACAGTAAGTAAGGAGTGAAGCCTAAGGGAAGATAAAGAAGGTTATTGTCGTTGCAGTTAAGCTCTCTCTCGCCAAATCTTTTTTTATTCTTCTATTATTCCATTTCTACCCCTTCCTTTTTCATCTCTCTCTCTCTCTCTCTCTCTCCAAACAAACACACATCATCAAACCAACATTTGTCTGCTGCAACTCTCACCCTTTCCTCTTCTCCTTCTTCTTCCTGCTTCACTCTCTCTCTTATTCGATTCTCAGATCATTCCTGCTTCCTCTTTCATCAATGGAATCTGCGCCGCCTGATGATTGTTCTGTTAAAGTTGCTGTCCACATCAGACCGCTCATCGGCGACGAACGGCTTCAAGGTTGTAAAGATTGTGTCACTGTCGTTTCCGGTAAACCGCAGGTACTGTTGCTTTTCCAGTTTCGACAATGTCACAGCTCTGTCTGTTTTCTTAATCTGGACTTGAAAAGACTTTTTCTTTTTTACAAAATTTTATTTTCTAACTGATTAGCTTTTTTTTTTAATCGGAATTATCTCCCTGAGATCTAGATCTTGCGACGTTTAGAATCAGTGAACTTTATTTTTCTTTCATATGCATGTTTGACTTAGTCAGTTCTGTTCTTTTTTAAGGACAGTATTAGAATTATTGCATCTTAATTTATTTCATTAACTAATTTGCTCACAAGACCAATTTTTTTCGTTGCTAATTCTCAAAGACTTGACTCTTCCGGCAAAAAAAAAGCCTGAAAAATTGAGATTTTGATTAAATTGCTGGATATGTGATTTGGAAAAAGGCAGTAATGAGAATTTTGTTTTTTTGCAATCTGTAATGCTTAATTGTTTGGTTTTGAAAAAAAATTGACAAAAGCACATAAGATTGGATGTAATAATTAACAATCAAACATTTGCTTTTTGGACTGTGTGTTTGTGAATATGATTGATGCAGGTACAAATTGGATCACATTCTTTTACTTTCGACCATGTATATGGAAGCTCTGGTTCTCCTTCTACTGAAATGTATGAAGAATGTGCTGCTCCGCTCGTCGACGGCTTATTTCAAGGCTACAATGCTACGGTTCTTGCTTATGGACAGGTAATAACAATAATAATAGGATCACTGGACTTACTTTCCGAATGTCTTTTTTTCTTTCATGGCTTTTGACTTGTGTTCTGTTATTACAACATTGCAGACGGGTTCGGGTAAAACATACACAATGGGAACTGGCTACGGAGACAGCAGCCAAACCGGAATCGTCCCTCAAGTCATGAACTCTCTTTTCAGCAAGATTGAGACTCTCAAGGAGCATATCGAGTTTCAGATCCACGTTTCTTTTATCGAGGTTCTTTTAAAACGCTTTCTTCTCCAGAACCTCTCGCGATTTTGTTTCTTTGTTTGAGTGCTGAGTAATGGTTTTTTGGATTTGGTAGATTCATAAAGAAGAGGTGCAAGATTTGCTGGATCCTTCCATTATTAACAAGTCATCAGACGTAGGCAAAGTAGCACATGTCCCAGGGAAGCCACCGATACAGATCCGAGAAACATCCAACGGTGTGATCACATTAGCAGGATCAACGGAAGTCAGCGTCACCACTCTCAAAGAGATGGCTGCTTGCCTCGACCAAGGTTCGATCAGCAGAGCGACCGGTAGCACTAACATGAACAATCAGTCCAGGTGACCTATAATCTCTGTCTTATTAGTATTATTTCTAAATGTCAATAATTCTGAATTGGTCATAAAAGTCTTGTTTTTTCTTCTATCGTCATGCAGTCGTTCACATGCCATTTTCACTATCACCGTGGAGCAAATGCGCAAGATTAATACGGACTCTCCTGAGAACGGTACTTACAATGGGAGCTTGAAAGAAGAATATCTGTGTGCCAAGTTGCACCTTGTAGACCTTGCTGGTTCTGAACGAGCCAAAAGAACTGGCTCTGACGGTATGAGATTTAAAGAAGGTTAGTGTTTTTTTTCTGTTGTATTTTGTTTTAGACAAGTAATAGAGCTCACTGTGTCTTGTAATGGAAGTTGATTCTTTCTTTTTTACCAGGAGTACACATAAATAAAGGCCTACTTGCGCTTGGAAATGTCATTAGTGCGCTCGGCGACGAGAAAAAGCGTAAAGACGGTGCCCATGTTCCTTACAGAGACAGTAAACTTACACGGCTTTTGCAGGTATTGTTTGTTTTCAACTTTCTTGATTTCACATTGTTCATTGTTTGCTCTTTTCTCATATGTTTTACATGTTAATTTCTTAGGATTCCCTTGGAGGCAACAGCAGAACTGTGATGATAGGTAACCTGAAGGGTTTCTCATTTGTTTTTTTTTATTTTATTTCTGAGGAAGTTCTGATTTAAGCCCTTTCCACTTTGGTTAATGCTCTCTTAATTTCTTTATGCTTGTTATTTGGGTTTCAGCTTGCATCAGCCCTGCAGATATTAATGCTGAGGAAACACTGAACACACTTAAATATGCAAACCGTGCAAGAAACATCCGGAACAAACCTGTTGTAAGCAAGCTATATCGAATATATGTCAATCCAAGAAACTTATTACAGATTGAAATAAGATGAATCTAATTTTCTCTTTCTGTTATTTGAATTTTTTTTTTTTAAACAGGTTAATAGAGATCCTGTGTCCAGTGAGATGCTAAAAATGCGCCAACAGGTAGAATACTTGCAGGCAGAGCTCTCCTTACGTAATGGAGGATCCTCATGTGCAGAACTCCAGGTATTGTTGTGACCTTAGTGTTGGTTTTACTTGAGAAACTAAGAAAATATTGTGGAGTATAAATGCTTAAGAGTGGGTGTGTGTGATGATGTAGGTTCTTAAGGAAAGGATTGCTTGCCTTGAAACTGCCAACGAAGACCTTTGCCGCGAACTTCATGAGTACCGAAGCAGATGTGGTGGTGTAGAGCATTCTGATAAAGACTTTAAAGACATACAAGCTGTAATATAGTTAACTGTGGATAACCATGTCTATTTATGCTAGATCTTTGTTTATTGTTATGAAAAGGTTGAATTATTTGGTTGGCAGGATGAAATCGTCGGTTCTGTCAGAACAGATGGTCTGAAAAGGAGCTTGCACAGTATAGAATCGTCAAATTATCCCATGGTTGAAGCCACAATAGGTAATATAAGAAAGATTCAAAAGAGTTATGAAACTTGAAGAAAGTAAATGGTATTGAAGACAAAGAGTTTTTATGTTATTTGCAGGTGATTCAAGAGAAGTAGACGAAGAGGCAAAGGAGTGGGAGCACAAGCTCTTGCAAAATAGTATGGACAAAGAGTTGCATGAACTCAACCGCCGTCTAGAGGAAAAAGAGGTCTCTTATTACTTATGCCCTAAAATTTCCTTGGGGTTTGAGATTTATTCATGTCCATGACTAAATAATCCGTGTCTGAAACAGTCTGAAATGAAGCTTTTTGACGGTTATGATCCGGCTGCGCTAAAGCAACATTTTGGAAAGAAAATTGCAGAGGTGGAAGATGAAAAGAGAGCTGTTCAGGTGGAGTATATGTATTTCGCATTGGTGCTCAGTTTTTCATATTGGATGTCCCATTAAAGAACATAATTATGAGTTGTTAAACTGTTTTTTTTTTTTTGTTTTCAGGAAGAGAGAAACCGTTTGTTGGCTGAAATTGAGAACCTTGCTTCTGATGGTCAAGCCCAGAAGCTGCAAGACGTGCATGCTCAGAATTTAAAGGCGCTTGAAGCACAGATTCAAGACCTTAAGAAAAAGCAAGAGAATCAGGTTCAGCTACTGAAGCAGAAACAAAAGAGTGATGACGCGGCTCGGAGGTTACAGGACGAAATCCAATCTATCAAGGCACAAAAGGTATACTAAATATGATAAACATTTTATTTTCCTAACTTTAAAATTGCATAAAGACTCATCATATCACACCATCTTCTCTTTGAAAGTGCATTTGTTTGATAATCTTCCTTGGCTTTATAGGTTCAGCTGCAACACAGAATGAAACAAGAAGCAGAACAGTTTCGACAGTGGAAAGCCTCCCGGGAGAAGGAACTTCTTCAGGTACCATTTCTTCTTACTTAAGTCCCTGCGTTGGTCTTCTCTCAAATGATATTAGATTCTAACTGTACCTTTAAATTTAAACTTTCACTGTCCAACACAGTTACGGAAAGAAGGGAGAAAGAGCGAGTATGAAAGGCATAAGCTGCAAGCTTTGAATCAGCGCCAGAAAATGGTAAGCACAAGATCGTTACCATGTGATTTCGAAAGTTTGGCCCTTGAGTAATGATAATATTCCATGATCTCTGTAAGATTTGGCTGTGAAATTAAGGAACATTTGCACTCTCAGGTTCTTCAGAGGAAGACAGAAGAGGCTGCAATGGCTACCAAGAGGTTGAAAGAATTGTTGGAAGCTCGGAAATCTTCTCCTCGTGAACACTCAGGCATGAATAATATGTTTTGCGTTTTGATAGTAAACTCCTTGAACACTTAGAGAGTCATGTCACTGCGTAATTCGCTGGTTGAGATTCTAAGTAAAAAAAAAAGTGATTTGTGTGGTGCTTTTAAGATTCTAAGCAAAGAACTTTTTATGCAGCTGGTACAAATGGCTTTGGAACAAATGGTCAGGTGCGAATTGAACAAAGTCCCTTTTTTATTTATCTTGTTTAGTTTGTATCATTGTAATTCTTGAGAAAGCTAATTCAATTTCATACTCTTATAGACCAATGAGAAGTCATTGCAGCGTTGGCTTGATCATGAGTTGGAAGTGATGGTGAATGTGCATGAAGTGCGTCATGAGTACGAGAAACAAAGCCACGTGTATGTCCCCGAATGCATTCAACTTCTGCCATAATTATATCATCACAAAGACCGTTTAACTTATTTTTGTGTGGTTTCAGACGAGCTGCTTTGGCGGAAGAGTTGGCTGTGTTAAGACAAGTGGATGAGTTTGCAGTGAAAGGCTTAAGCCCTCCAAGAGGAAAGAATGGTTTTGCTAGGTACTTGTTTTCTTCACATGATTTTTTTCATTCGTTTTCTAATTTTTTTGCGACGGTCCTTACTTACAAGTTTTGTTATTTTTCAGGGCATCATCGTTGTCACCTACTGCAAGGATGTCCCGAATATCTTCACTAGAGAACATGCTCGGGATATCTTCTAACTCTCTAGTAGCGATGGCATCACAGCTCTCTGAGGCAGAAGAACGGGAACGTGCCTTTACAAGCCGTGGCCGCTGGAACCAGCTACGATCAATGGGAGAGGCCAAGAACTTGCTTCAATATATGTTCAACTCTCTCGCAGAAACAAGGTGCCTCTAGTTTCTAAGTGATGCATCTTCCTTCAGCATTAGAGTTAAATCTCTCCAGTTCAAGATTTTCCTGACTTTAATGCTTTTATGCAGATGCCAATTATGGGAGAAAGATGTAGAGATTAAAGAAATGAAAGATCAGTTCAAAGAAATTGTTGGCCTTTTGAGGCAGAGTGAGCTGAGAAGGAAAGAAGCAGAAAAGGAGCTTAAATTAAGGGAGCAAGCAGTTGCAGCTTCTTTAGCTTCTTCTCCACTAGTATGATTGATTGATTAATGCCACTTTTCTTATTTTATCCATATTTCAGATTACTTTAGTTTTGGTTATATAACGCCTGAAATACAAAATGTTGGTACTGTATAGGGAACACCACCGAGTTCGGTGAAACATTTAGCTGAAGACATGAACACACCTCCTCCAATGACCGTGCCAGCACAGAAGCAGCTCAAGTTTACCCCAGGAATCGCTAACGGAAAAGTGAGAGATTCGGCTGCATTTATTAATACAAACAAGAAGGTTAGATTCATTTTAGTCTGCCTCTTTAGTGTTACGATGGTTCACTGTAGGTATGTAAGAGTCTTACGTACATTTGTTGGTTGGTTGCAGATGGTACCGATGGGGCAAGTATCGATGAGAAAGCTATCAGCAGTAGGACAACAAGGTGGGAAACTTTGGAGGTGGAAGAGAAGCCATCACCAGTGGATCGTTCAGTTCAAATGGAAGTGGCAAAAGCCATGGAGACTCTCTGAGTGGATTAGGCACAGTGACGAAACACTCCTCAAGGCGAAACCTCGACATAAGGCTCTCCCTAACAAGATCATGTGATCATCAAGGTTGCTTTGCCGTTTTCTGAGAGAGGGAAGTCTTTTTTTTTAATTTAGTGTTCAAGCTCTCTCTACCTGTGAGTATGAGACTTTTATGGAAAGGATCATACAAATGGGTGCAGGTAATACAAATCTCTCACAAATCATTTCCTTAGATTGTTTAAGCAAACTTAGAGAGGAGGATATCATTGTTCTAACGTAGATTGAATCCATGCACGTACAGAGACTGGACTTGCTGCCTTTGTTTCATTTGGGAGGAAAACTCTTAACGTTGTGTGATATTGGAAGCTTTATTATTGGGCGTGTCGACCGCATTAAGGAGACGAGCGGGCGGGTGATGCCGGTCGCTTGCTGTAGGTAACAGATAGCAGACGGCTTTTTTTAGGAGTCAGATTTGTTCTTTGTCATTGTTGATAGAATTGACATCTTATACATCATCACTAAAAAGGGAGCTCATGGAGGATATAAAAAAAAAACCTCAAATCTTCAAAGTTGCAGATATTATTTGTATGAAGAAGTTACCAGTTTATTTGTTCTTTTGTCTTGTTGTAAATGATAAAATATCTGTCTAGTGTTCAGCTTTTTGTTCAAGTTGACGGACAAAGGTTATATATATTTACATCACATCATATCTTAAGAGTGAGACATGAAACGAGAGTAATGGACAAAGCAAAACCAATCTCTTCAAGCTTTTATTGATGAGCATAGGACATATTACAACTTGTGATTTACAAGCATAGGATGTTAAAAGCCTAACGGTTAAGGGTATGTGACAAATTTATATGTGTTATACAATCTCCCATTTCGTTCAACAACAATTTAACACCCCAAATATTACATCAAGACGCGATATCGCCGCAGTTTCTCTCATGTCATGGCCAACAAAAAAGCATCCATCTTTGTTGTATCATCACATATTGCTACACCAGTACGCATAGTGTTCATCTCTCCTATGGATGCTCACCAGACCACCGCATTGCAGACAGATAAAGCTGCTTCCGTCGGCAAAGGCATCAAGCACGATCTGTGACCTCCCGCTTTTCTCCAGGATAGATATGCCACGAGCATCCGCTGTGACTGTTCCTTTTGTACCAAACACGTCTGCTGATGCTGGCCCGTGCGCGAGAGGCTGTGCTTCTGTAATGGCACACTCTGCAAATATAGAAGCCAGCTGATCTATACTAGCTGTTTCTTGGATTCTGCGCTTGTAAAGTTCACGGGTTCGGTTCAGTATCTCGAGTACCGCCTCGTCTCCTCCTTGGGTTCTCATCGCCATCACTACCTGTTCAGAACAAGATGGACTGACTCAGGACAAAAAATAGGTCAATGCAAACCATATGCATTATACAAGTCTCATGCTTTCTACTCACAACTCCCAATTCAACAAGGATGATACTTTAGCATTCTGAAAATCTAGCAGACATAATCAGAACTAACTCAAGTTATACATGGGTGGTCTTTATACTATAGAATGCTGTGTCCAAAAGTAAATGGTTCTAGTCACACTATCTTATAACAAGAGGAGATCGTTCTTCTACAATTCTAAATCTTGTTGACATGATAAGCTAATGGATGATGTGATAGGGTTCAAACCGGTAAGCTACTTCTTTTTTTCACTTCACCATAGAAGAGACTTAACCAAGAGATGAAGGCGATGCTGCTGTGATCTGTGGGAAAGTAGTTGAAGGAGAAGAATGTAATGGATCAAACTTAAGATACACATTCGAATTTTCACAATCTGTAGTTTTAATAGTAGCTAATGATAGAGGATTAAACCAATCTCTCTACAACTCAAATGGCTTAATCTACAGTTCGTTGGAGTAATTAATCTGTACAATATTAAATTCGTCACTGGATAGCAATTTATCAGCCAGTGGCATCTAATTCGATCTTCAGCAACGAAAACAATTGAAGCAACTAAATCTTAACAATCAACGAACCCTAATTTAAGTTCAAAAGTTTGTAAGTATCGAACTTGTTATCATCTAAAACAAGTAGTGAAACATCAAAGGAGAGCCCAACAGCAAAACCGTAAACACATCGAACAATCCGAAGAAGAATGTTGAAAGCAAAAAAAAAAAAAAAAAAAAAAAAATGGAAGAGAAAAGTGGAAGAAATCAAGATACCGCCTGAAGAGCTTGTGATGGCTCGCCTTGATTGACGAGCCTCCGAGCGGCGGAGAGGAAATCCCTCGCGGTGCCGGTTTGATTGTCAAGAACGAAGGTTTCACTGGAGTCGGTCTCCATCATCTCCGGCTCGGGATCACCGTTCATGGAGTAATGCATCAATAAACTGGGGAAGAATCGAAGAAGAGAAAGAAAAAAAAAAGACAGGAGTGATGATGATGATGAACAACGCCAGAAGAGTCTAGGAGGTGCGCGACTTCTTGTCGCATTCCCTAATTCCTCGTACAAATTTACACCTCTTAAATTCGGTAAGCCAAAAAAAAAAAAAAAAAAGTTAACTAATCCGTAAAATCAACGATGTTCTCTCTATATAAACACCCAAACGGTTTAGGCTAAACCGCAACTAATTAATCGAACCTTAAATAGGGTCGAAATTCTAATTAAACCTCCAAGTTGACTTTTGTATTCCTTAAAAACTCAATGTGTGTAGTAAAACTAGTTTGAGATCTTCTAGGACAAGAATCAATCAATTTGCTATAATCCTACAGGCTACAGATTCATAGACATGTCTAAATATATATGAGCTATAAAAATTTTGTTTTGAATGAATGCGAAATAAAAAACAGTTAAAACGAGTCCAATTAGGTTTGGTTGGGCCTTTGACTGAAAATGCAGAACACTACTGTCCTTTTGATTTGGCTTTTTGTTTTGATCCCTCTGTAATCCACCACCACAGGCTCACTGCGAGAGAGAGAGAGAGAGAGAGAGGGAGACATGGTGGGCTGCGTGAATTCTATTTCTCCGCCGGTGAGCCTGTGCCCGCCACGTGCCTCTCTATCTCCAGCTTCACGGTCGTCCTTCTCGTTTTCCGGCGATGCCTTACACTCTCTTTTCCGGGAACCAACCATATTCCTCCGACGTGCTTCGAGATCTCCGTCGATGATCGCTCCCAGATTTCAGGTAAAACGCATTTGGGTACATTTTTCTAGCTCCAGTTTTGTGAATGCGTTTGGGTTTCGCATCTCCGAGCTGTTGAATTGGGTTTTTTCAGGTTGTGGCGGCCGAAAAAACGAAGCCTCTGAAAATTATGATTTCAGGAGCTCCTGCTTCGGGTAAAGGTACACAATGCGAGCTGATTACTCAGAAAGTAAGCTTCTTTCTCTTGCTTTTACTTTATTCAATCGATAGATAATCTCATGAATTAATTTGAAATTAGTCTGATCGATTTCGTAAGTGAGCCTCAGTTTAGGCCAACCATAGCATTACCTGACACTAGTTCTCTTGGCTGTAACATGAACATGGTGAAGGATATAGTAATAACTTCAGGTTTCTATATGTTGAGACTGGTTTAGAATCGATTTTGTATATTCAGAATTGTTGATTATCTTGTTTACTTGGTTTTATAACTTGTATATATATATATAGCAATGCTATTCTTCTTCTTCATCAATAAGGATAATAAAAATTCAGTCTTTACTTCGGTTTTAGTTTTGTTGGAAGCTCAAGTTGTTAATAGGAACGAAAAAACGGTATTTATGTGGAGCTTGCTAGTAATTTTTCCTTTTCTTTTTAGGTTCTGTTTCCGTGGAAGGCTTCAATGCTTGCTTCATGATGGTTAACTGTTACATAAACTGCTACCTCTTTGCAGTATGGTTTGGTGCATATCTCTGCTGGAGATTTGCTGAGGGCAGAAATCGCTTCTGGGAGTGAAAACGGAAGACGGGCAAAAGAGTATATGGAGAAAGGACAATTGGTCCCTGATGAAATAGTTGTAATGATGGTCAAAGATCGTTTATCACAGACGGACTCAGAGCAACATGGATGGCTCTTGGATGGATATCCGAGGAGCTCATCACAGGCAACAGCTCTCAAGGGATTTGGATTCCAGCCTGATCTATTCATTCTCCTCGAAGTAGGCACCTTTTCTTATCGTTAATGTCCCTTATCTCATATCTAAAGCCTTTGTCTTTAGTTTGCTAAAGTAGAGTTGTGTGTTGTGAGTCCAAAGCAACAATGAATGGAGAGGAGCTCATTTGATTTACGCCCTATTCTGCTTTTGGGACAGGTTCCTGAAGATATTTTAATTGAAAGAGTTGTTGGGCGTAGATTGGATCCTGTCACGGGAAAGATCTACCACTTGAAGTATTCTCCTCCAGAGACAGAAGAGATCGCTGCGAGACTCACCCAACGTTTTGATGATACCGAAGAGAAGGCAAGTCAAACCACTTCTTATATATTTCCATGCGTCTTGTCTCTGAACTTCATAAAGCACACTCTTAGTCCAACCAGTTATGTCTCAGAATTTGTTTTTGTTCTTTCGCTGTAGGCAAAACTGCGGCTGAAGACTCATAACCAAAATGTGACAGATGTGCTTTCCATGTACGACGATATAACTATCAAGGCATGAGATCTCATTCACACCCTTTCCATTTCGGTTTTGGTATCTCTTAGTTAATGAGTTTGATGAAACAAAATGGTACTTTGTTTATTACTATCATCCAGATAAAGGGAAACCGTTCAAAGGAGGAAGTGTTTGCCCAGATCGATACTGCTCTGTCCGAAATGCTTCAACAGAGGAACGTCGCTCCAAGTTCAAGTTCACTTTTAAGTTGAATCATTCTTGGTACGGACCTGAGGAAGTGTTTGCCCCAGATCGAATTGCTTCAACAGAGGAACACAGCTTCAATTTCACTTTTAAGTTGAGTCATTCTTGGCGCGGACGTAACCAGCGGTAAATATCCATCCCCTCTCGCATTTATCACAGTGTCTATTGATATCACTTGTATCGCAATAATTGGGTCTGTTTGTTGTCATTAAGTCAATGTCTACCTCAAACCGACCTTCTTATACTCTGTAGATTTATTGAAAATAACACATTGTGTTCTCTTGTTGCAATTTATGAAGAATATGATTCTTTTATTCTTTTGTTAAGAACTGAGTTGCAAAGTCATTTAGGACCTGTTGAAACTTTCTTTAGTCTTTTCCTATCAGTCAACTTTTTGACCGTTGGCGTCTAAACTCAACTTTACAATGGTAAACCTATGATTATTATTCAGCTACTCTTTTTCTTAGCAATTGATTTTAGAAGACGAGAGTAAGTCTTTAGACTTTTCCCATGGAGTTTAATATAAGTTGATGATAAGCTTTTCCACTTATTTTTGTCTCCAAACGTTTTGGACTTTGGAATCTTATGTAATGCGTGCAAAAAGCACAGCGAATCTCATTGGCTTTTGCTTTGACCTTTCACATTAAACTGCAGAAAGAAATTGGATTCTCTTGCCAAGGTTTCTATGAAAACAAATATAAAAATATTAAGGAAGACCAAAAGAATTGAAAAAAGAGTGTGAAGACTCAAGACGTGTAACTGTGCATATTCATATTGCATGTGTTGAATAATTAAATAAAAAAATAAAGCGACACGTGGCTAGTTAGTAGCGGACCGGGATAGGGGATCGGTCTTTGGAGCCGCCAAACAAGCAGCCAAAGCACTGTCTAGGTTACTAACTATTTCTGCCATTGTCGGCCTTTCCCGACCACACGGCATCACGCAATCTACCGCCAAGCACCCGAGATGCGCCACAGATTCTATCTCGTACGGCGTCGGCGGCGGAATCCTCCGGTCAAGTGCTCTGTGAATCTCGTCCTGCAAAATGCAAGGCACCACAAACTCCACCACGTTTCTAGGGCTCTCCTCCTCGTTCATGTGGATCGCCTTGTGACCCGACAGCAGTTCCAGCAGCACGACGCCGAAGCTGTAAACGTCGCTCTTGGTCGTGAGCTGCTGAAGCCTGTAGTACTCCGGGTCGATGTAGCCCAGTGTACCGGCGGGGCGTAAGGAGAGATGCGACCAGTCTTCCTCCTCGGTGGGACCCATCTGCGAGAGTCCGAAATCCGATACCTTGGCTGTCCACGTGGCGTCTAGAAGTATGTTGGACGACTTTATATCACGGTGGATCACCGGAGGCACGGCAAACTCGTGGAGGTACTGGATCCCACGCGCGGCGTCAAGCGCGATCGCCAAGCGTTTCTGCCACGTCAGAGGTTCGAACCGAGGGTTATGAAGGTGATCGGCGAGAGACCCATTCTCCATGTACTCGTAGACCAAAACCCTCTCTTCCGCATCCTCGTAGAATCCTAAAAGTCGAACAAGGTTCCTATGGTTGAGCCGCGACATAGACTCTAGCTCGTTTACGAACGCTGAATCATTGTCCTCTCGCCGGTTTCGGTTTCTTATAGTTACCCCGGACGACGCAGGGTTTGTGAGGCCGGCTCGTTTGATGGCCACATGACGTCCGTCAGACAAAACGGCTTTGTAAACAGAGCCGAAGCTGCCTATCCCGAGCTGGAACCGGGCAGAGAAACCGTCTGTGGCTAGAGCCAGCTCGTCGATTGAGAACTCCACGAGCTGGCAAGGGTTTCCTAAACTGGCTAGACTGCTCAGCCTCTTCTCTAGCGTGGGTCTGCCTATAATCCTATTATCATCGAGACGACCAGAGTCATGGACACGGCATCGACAGTGGCTTTTATAGACCAAGAAAGTGATGACTAGGAGCAAGGAGCACGTTCCAACGCATCCCACCACCAGAAACGCAACGTTTTTGGCGCTCCAGGTTTTGTGCTTAGAGTCTTGTTGTGCCCGTGTATGCGTGTCGGGAAGTCCAGATTGGTCTTGAAACGGAGCGAAAACACCTGAATCAAACTTCTCATCTCCCCAACAATACAGAGTACTGGAGTTTATAGTAGCAACACCGCAAAAGATTGGCCCTTTAGCGTAAATGGATTTGAAATGAACGTCTTCAAGCCTCCGAGGCAGACTGAAATCGTTGTTGCTGCTTCCCCAACACACCACTGTTTCATCAGACCATCTAATGCCGCAGCTACGGTTTTCACCGACCGCAAGTGCTATGAACTTTTCGCGTGGCAGTGATGACTGCGTTTGCGTTTGCCCCCAACACTCCACTTGGTTGTCAACCGCGATCGCGCACGCTTGACTTGACCCAGCCGCAATCGCGATGTAACGGTTCCCACTCGGCACCTTGGCTATGTTACCTTCTCCTTCACAGCTGATTCTTCCTGGTGGCTGAGATAACCCACAGAAGAAATTATCTCCGACGGCGATGGAATCGTAATTATCCGGCCGTGGCGGAGAGACCGGTTTCCAGCAACGTGTGCGGTTTGTGACTTTCTCAACTCCGCAGAGTCGGGAGTTTCCAGCTTCTAACTCTTTCAGCTCAGGACCGTTGTAGATTCTCTTGTACGACATGTTAGCTCCGTTAGCGGAGAATCTCCAGCAGAGGATTGTAGAAATGTTGGAATTCAGCGGCGATAACAGACCGCACACAAACCCATTCCCGGAGACGACGCCGGAAAACTTACGACTCCGGAGATTATCGGTTAAAGGGATTACAACTGAGTTTAGAGGGAAACTGGAACACTGGAGATGAGAGTGGTTGTTGGTGAGAGCACATACGAGGGTCTGATCGGAGGTTCGGGAGATGGAGACAGTGGAGAGGGAGAAGCAGAGAAAGGAGGAGGAGGATACAAGAAGAAGGAGAGACGGAAAGTAAAAGGAGAAACGAGAGGTTGAGATGGTAAATGCCATTGAAGAAGAAGAAGAAGGCTTCTCATGGCGATGAATCGTTTGGTTGTGTTTTAGGTAATGGTTTTTCTAAAGAGGGCAGATCAACGCGGTTAGTGTGAGGACCCAGTTACCATATCCAAAGTCTCGTTTTCTTAATGTTTTTCTTCTATTTCATAAGATTTGATTGGTCAACTCTTTGAAATTTCAACACTTATTTTCAGTGGAATAAAGGTAAAGTATATAAATTATAGCTGAATTACTATGATTTGTTTCTTTGTTTTATTAAAGTGTTACTTTTCTTAAATTTCATTCTATTGTTTAGAGAAAAATAAAATTTTCTCATCCGCAAATAATTTGAATTGCGCATTTTGAAAATTTAAATCAGAAACCTTTTTACATTATTTGAGAATTAACTGATTGTAATTTAAATTTTTAACTTTTTGATGATCACAATGTTTGCGTTAGCTGCGGACAAGAGGCTGTTACAGTCATAGAAGTCGGATGCGTACACGACTGCGATTTCAAACCCCATCAAAAATCAGACGGATTTAAGCTCACGACGACGATCCTCGAATAGCCAATTCAGCTCCAGTGTTCCAAATCTCCTCCAGCTCTGATATTTTTCCCGTCGCAAACTATGGCTACGTGTGGCCTCTGGACGGCGCCGTCTTTTTCTACCCGCCGGCGAACCTGCAGCTTTTTTTCCATTCGCCGGTCTGTATCATCGGTGCTCAAATTCGATAAAGAGCGTGTCTCACGAAGAGTCTTCTGTAGCTACGAGAAGAACGACAGGGATCGGCCTCAATCTACCGGAATTCAGGTCTACGGCGAGATCGAGAGGTAAGCCACTTCCGTTGATCGACGTGTGTACTAGCTTCACCTTTGACCTCACTGCTCCTACTTGGGGCAAATCAATTCGATTTTCAGGTTATTAACAGAGACTGTCAAACAATCTCAAAGTAGTTCCGGTGGATCCTCTGACTGGTCAGAAGTCGAGGTGTGTGTTTTTGTTATCTCAATTCCTTTGTGTGTCCTCCAAATGTCGATTTGAATGTTTGAATTTGGAATTTACGGTCGATGATTATGATGATCCTGTTGTTTTGCAGTAGCTTGGCTGTAATGGATGATTCTTAGATTTTAAGTTATATACAGGAGAATTGTGTGATTTGGATTGAGTTTTGTTTCGCATTGTTATCAATAATTCATTGTAAATGTTGTAGGGAGCATGGGTTCTCAAACCCAGAAACTCGAAACCAAAAATGGTTGTTCATTTCATTGGCGGCATATTTGTTGGTGCAGCACCTCAGCTTACCTATCGTTTGTTTCTTGAAAGATTAGCAGAGAAGTATGATCTTATGCTGTAGTAGCTTTCCCTTTTCGATATAATTTACGAGGCGTTCTTTGATCACTTATATTAACTATGTATCTGAATTCTCTTCTGAATACACACTTTCATAAGATAAAAAGCAAACAAGAAAGTGAAACTCAGAGGAGGTATATTAATAATCTGCCTTGTCTACCTATGTTGTTTTCATGAATTTTATTATCATTTTATGCGCAGGGATGTTTTGGTTATTGCGACACCGTATGCTAGTGGCTTTGACCACTTCGCTATTGCAGATGAAGTACAATTTAAGTATGATAGATGCTGCCGATCTCTACATGAAGCAGTGAGTATCTTCTAGTGATTCTGAAGAAACGAGAATTTTGTTTTCTAGCTTGTTCTTTGCTCCAGGAAAGATAAAATTGGGTCCGTATATAGGAAACATAAGAATTAATGGCAGGTTTCTTTTCTCTCAACAGGTGCAGGATCTTCCATCTTTTGGGATTGGTCATTCACTGGGATCCCTCATTCACCTTCTGATTGGTAACTAGGTTTAAATGGTTGTGAATCTATGAAACTGCAGCTCATTAGTTATTTTTATTGAGTTGGCTCATTAGTCATTCAGGATCAAGGTATGCTGTTCAGCGAAGTGGGAATGTATTTATGGCATTCAACAACAAGGTAAATGGGTTCATCTATCTTACCAAAGGAAATCAGAGTCGCCATTAAAGATTGAATTGTTTGGGGGAAAACTGATAAGAACAAAGAGAGAAACTTAGGAGATAGAGGCTTAACATTCATAATTCAATTCCTTTACGAAGCCCCTAATTTTGCAGGAAGCGAGCTTAGCTATTCCTTTGTTCTCCCCAGTTCTTGTGCCAATGGCTCAAAGCCTTGGACCACTATTATCACAGGTAGCAACATCTCCGACAGTCCGCCTTGGGGTGAGGTTCTGATTCCTCTGCTTTGCTTTTTAAGATGTGTAGTTCTTCCCTAGTTCCTCAAGTGATAGTCTAGCTTCTTGCTTTTGGTGATTGTGTTTGATCAATTTGTCGTTTGCTAACTCGAGAAGTTCCATCAGGAGTCCTTAGTGATTTTATTACTCTCTTTTGATTAAAAATTGCAGTAATTGCGACTTTTGATATTTGACACATCAAGTCGTAATGCTATCGACCTTGTCCGTCCTCTGTCATCCTTTGTCAATGGTGTTCGCAAATAACTGACAACAAAACTACTTGCAGGCAGAGATGACGCGGAAACAACTAGAAACGCTTAGCCCTCCCATCATGAAGCAAATTCTACCATTAGTAGAACAGCTCCCTCCCTTGTACATGGACTTAGTTAAAGGAAGAGAAGATTTTATTCCAAAACCAGAAGAAACAAGACGCCTTGTAGGTGAAACCCATAATGTTATTGGATTTATGTTTCATTTTGGAGCCTTATCTCGTCTTGATAACCATCTATCACACTACATCATACTAATCAAGTGATTCTTGCTAATAATAATGTTCAGATAAGATCCTACTACGGCATCTCTAGGAATCTGTTGATAAAGTTCGAGGATGATTCAATAGATGAAACATCAATCCTAGCTCAGGTGCTTGGCGTGGAATCGTCCATAAGCTCAAAGCTAGACATGTCTATCCGTACACTTCCAGGGGATCACGGTCTCCCTCTGCAACAGGTACTGAGTTGAGCGTAATATGCAGATTATCTTGCAACAGAGATTTGTGCCATCACCTTGGAGATATAATACTCCAAGAGCACGAACAACAGCAACTTTCTTTGTTTGCACTCAGTGAGGTCATAATATTGAAATTTACAAGCTATGTATATTGTTGTATGGACAGGCTCTTCCAGATGTCCCACCAGCAATGGCAGAAGCGGTGAATCGAGGAAGTGAGTTTTTGGCGAATATTGCGGTTGGAACACCGTGGGAGTCTATGGCTAAAGAGGTTGGAGTATCACTGGGTAATGAGAAGATCCTTCGTGCTGACATGTCCAAAGATCTTGCCCTGCTCGTCGATGCAATCGCTTCTTGGATGGTTTCAAATATGGGTCCAAAACTTTTGAGGTCATAATGTTACTCACTCATGTACACAGAACATAAAAAGAATAATCTCATAACACAGCTTATATGCATAATACATAAAAAAAAAACTCATTTGCTTATTATATTTTAACTTGTTTACGGCCATCATTACATATTTCGTACTCTATATCACATAAGGAAGGGTCATTCAAGTACTTGAAAGACGCGCGTCGACCAAAAAAAGGTAAGCACTCTTGAAATTATCGGCCTATTATTATTATTCGTGATACAGGTACAAGCCGAGACCAAATCGAGCACATGCTCTGCAGAATGCTATTTCCTCAGCTGCAGTAACTGGATCCTCGATGGAATCATCAGTTATTGTCACTGTCCCAGTCGATTCACGATGCGCCTGCATTACATGAAACCTCATCTCTTGAGTAATGGACACACACAAAACAGAATGGTCATGTAATCAAGGGCTACACACTGTATAAAAGTCATGACACAGCCTTATGTCATTTAAGCTATAAAAATAGATTTTGCTGGTTTAGGCATTGCCATGGATGACCAAGTCACATCAGCTAGATATTTTACTTAAAATCGATGATAGACTCTTGAAAGCTATCATTAAGCAAGGTCTGATTTTGCACAAATTAAGTCAAACAAACATCAATACATGGCCCCAAAAAGAGTTAATACATCTAGACATGGCTTGCATTGCTTATACCTACTAAATCACAGAGAATGAGCCACAGTCTAAGTAAGAAATTGAGTATTATTAATAAGAAACTGAAAAAAAGGTGTTAGGTGAATGTGGAGGAGCTTACCTCACCATCAGAGCCACGAATGGTAAGACGATAAACAACCGTGACATTACCATTCTCAGAGAAAATGACATCGCGAACTTCTCCACACCAACCTGAATACAATAAGAAGATGGATTTCAAATTAGTCTCTGCAGAGAAGAAGAAGACGGTGATTTTCAATTATGAGGCAGATAATGCAATCTTCGGTACGAACCAGGTGCGTAGAAGCTGAGCATCCGATTTGCATGGTACCTACGGAGATAAAGCGTAAGAGGTCAGAATTCAGATCGAGAAGCACCGACGATTAGGTTAAAGGATCCAAAAAGAGTACCAAGGGATGAATCCAGAAGCAGCAGCATTTGAGCCAGGTTCGTGGCTCTTGACGATGTTATCAGGGATCTTCTTGTTAAGATCCCGAAGTATCTCGATCAGAGGCCGAGTGATGGACGAAGAAGAAGAGAACTTGTCCATAGGCACGACATAGTTCGAATTAGGAACCGCCTTGTTCTTACCGGCGTCTCCTCCTACTCCGACTCCACCTCCACTACATCTGACTCCGCGCCACGCCGTTAACATTTCCCGGCGAACCGCGACGGTTCCCAGTGAAGAGAGTCGACCGGCGCGCGCATCCGCGGCGGTGGATAGCGCGGTGTTGCTGAAGGCCGCCGTGGAGGTCTGCATTTGCAGAGACATTGTTGTGCTTGTGCAGATCGAAGAAGAGCAAAAACTCTGACTTGAGGGAAGAGGAAAACAGGAAAAGAGTGTGACGCAATTTGTCTGCTATTTGACGTGAATCTCGTAGTAGGTGGGGGGATAGGTGGAAACCCAAACCAACCCCCGTTTCAGTGTTTTTATTGCGCTTATGTCAATTATTGTAATTTGTAAGAATGATGTTGCATACTGAAACGTCTTCAAATAAGTTTATGATTGAGCAACAAGTGAGAAAAGTTTTGAATTATGATTTTTAATTCCAGAGAAGTGAACTAGTTCATCGGGTAAACTAGATGAAACCCGATTCAGGTACTAAAAAGGTCAAATCTTTAAACAAAACAGAATATTATATAGAAAGTGTTGGTCAAAACCCAAAAGTCACAAAAACATCCATGCAATGGAGAGAAATAATGAAGATCCAAATCATTACGCGTCTTACTGAATTCAGAAAAAAACAAAAACCCAAAGAAAACTCCATAGATGATGTGTCGCAAACACAAGAAGGCTAACAAAGGAAATTGATAAGCAAGACTTCCTCATTCTCCAAACTGTTTTTTCTTCGTTCTTCACCAGTTTCTTCATTCTTGACCTGCTTTCAATACCATTGCAGAGATTTAGCTAAGGTTTCCAAAACAACAGAACTAGGTCTTTTTGACTTTTAAGAGATCCCCTTACCTTTGGAAAATGAGACTTCTTCGTTTAGTTTCGGATAATCTTCTGCGTGGCCCCGATAGCCCGCGCAGGCTGGTTCAAGCTTGGCTGTGTGCCATCTTCCTGAACCAGCGACGGTGAGGATTGGATTGATTGCTATTCAGAATCATCATCGTCATAATCTTCAACATCCTCGGGATCAAACGCAGTCAGATCAAGCGGGTAACGAAGAATCCCTCCGATACCTCCAAACCCTCTGCAAAACTGAGACCCTTCTTGCGATTTGTTGGTTACAAACTCCAGCGCACACCCAAAGTTTCTGTATTCGTTCGCCAGCCACTCCAGCAACGACATCTTATCCTCCACGTCCAAGTCGCTGTTCCCTGCCTTGAAATTCTCCGTGTTGCCTTCCTGCTCCTTGTTCAGGTGCTTTATCAGAGTTTCATTCGTCGCGCTGTTCTTCAACACATATCTGTTGATATCAAGGTTCTCCCATACGATCAGTGTCTCCACAGCACCAGAATCCAAAGCGTTCAACGTATCCTCCACTCCAAACACATACTTCCCCGTGTCCTGGCTTATCTCCTCAAAGTACTTCCCAATCAAACGCTTCTCTTGAATGAACTTCACATTCGCAAGGATTTCAGAAGACAGCTCGATCGCCTGGTTGAAACCATTTTCTCCTCCGTACGATACGTCGACCACGTTCAGAATCTTTGCCCCGAGCCGAGGATCAAACATATCCGACTGACTCAGCTCAGTCTTGAAATCAGCTGAACCGGCAAGAATCAGCCCAGACACATTAGGCTGACTCGTCGCAGGGTTGATGTAGTACTGCGTGGCGAGCTCAGCTGTTTTCCTCACGTAGTTGTGACGCTTCTCCATACGGAGACGGGCAAAACGAAGAGCAGACTGTCCTCCTCTCCCGTGCTTCTTCGGAAGATCAACAGAGAACTTGTGAAGCACCTCACGGGTGTTACCACTCAGAGTCCCAAAGAGAGTCCCGTTACCGTCCATTACAATGAAGCCAAACTTGTCGTCCGACTCCAGCAGCTCATTCAGAGCCTCGGTGTGAAACTTGTTGTCACAGAGGTAGAGAGTGTTGTTGATGGGTTTGAAAGGCTCAAAGTCGATAGTAACCTTCTTCTCCTTGCCTTCGTCGGTGACAATGGTGCCGGTGTAGAGCACGAGGCCATTGGGAGGGACCCTGTTGTAAAGCTTCAGCCTTTGCTGTGCAGAAGTGATGGCCCCCAAAACAGACTGGCGATTGACTCTGCTCTTGATGTTTGACGCTGTTCCATACTCATCACCCAGCATCTTGGTGACACGAGAGACCTGATCACGCGGAGGCATGATGAGTGAGATCATGCTGGTCCCATTCCCTCTAGCTGCTTCAAGAGATTTGATCAGCTTCTTGATCTTCCATATCTCAATGTTCTTGTCGTCCTCGTGGTTGTCTGCCATTTTAACACCTGCAACAACACAGTGACCAAAGTACAGAAGCTAGTTAATATCGTAAAAATCAAAGTGCCCTTAACAATCAACCATCACCAATCTATGCGAGGATAAAGGTCAAATCAACAGAAAATCAATCGAATAAGGTGTAGTAAGTCTTCATCGCATAAATTCATCACTCAATACTCATAATCATAAGAGATATTAGTATGCACAATCAATTAAATATTGTTTTCAAAGGCAATAAGAAAAGGAAAAAATCAAGGCAGTAATGGATCTACCGTTAACAACAAATCTCCAAAATCAATCTCTTTATCTTACTGAACAGCTGATCTAATCATGGAAAAGCATCATAAAACAGACAATTCAAGATGATCGCAACAGAGTAGCATACATATCCTCAATAAGAACACAAAATCCCAAATCTGCCAAAAAAAAAAACAATCTGATAAAATAAATCAGACTCGCAAAACCCAATTGCATGGTAGTCAAAGAAATTACCAATAACAATCCGAAATTCCAGAAAAACAATGATACAAACAATCAGATCACACCAACGATTGATCGATCGACCAATTATCGTACAAGGAAAAAAAACAAATCAATCGAGAAAGAGAAGAACAAAGATATGAAGATCGGAAAGCACCTGAAGAAGAAAAACTACGCGAAGGAACGACGCCCAAGCCTAGAGAGAGAAATTTATATTCCTCGGAGAAACTTTTTGTTTATTGTAAGTAAAAAAGCAATTGGTCTCTTGATGTGGCAGAGAGATAATATATATACATTGTTTATTTTCTGTCATTGCACAGACGTAACCTACCCAAGGTTTAACCTAACCAAATCCACTCACTTTAATGGGCCTAAGCCCAATATCACTAATTGAATTATTTCCACTTGCATCACCCAATTGGTTTCTTTATCACAGGTCTGGGTCTCATCTTTGATTCTGTGTTGCAGCATTTGTGAGACTGTAGAGGAGGAACAAGCGCGATGGCATGGAGAGGAAACATTTCGAGGTCTCTCAAAGAGCTCAGGATCCTTCTCTGTCAATCTTCTCCAGCTAGTGCTTCCGCTAGGTTGCTTCTGCTTCCCTTTCATTTTCGGATTGGATTCAAAGCAATCTGTGAGATCGGCGATTCAATTGATCGTCACGTATATTCAATTTGCGTTAGTTTTTTTACTTGTTTCTGAATTTTTTAGGGAGTTTTGTTTGTTTTCAGAACGTTCGTTGAGAAGAATTACAAAGATTTGAAGTCTCTAAACCCCAAATTCCCATTCCTGATCCGCGAATGTAGTGGGATCCAGCCTCAGATGTGGGCAAGATATGGTAATAGCTTGAATCTCCCATTTGTTTTCTCTCGTGAATAGATTTTGAATGCACCTTGAATCAAAACTGAAAGCATTTGTGGCTATGCTGCTACACTAAGAAACGTTTGACTAAAAAATGTTCAATGTAAATAGAGTTGAGATTATTGTGCTTCCTGGGAAACATGTCGCTTTGGTGTCAATGGGGAATTTAATTCGAGCTCTGTGGTCTTGATTTTACATGAATGTGCTCATTGGTAGCTACAGATTTTTGCTACTTCTTTTTGTTCAATTTCTTATAACATCTTGTGTTAAGCATTCCGGTTAATGTGCACACTTCTCTCTAGAGCCTTTGCCATCGATGAAAACGTATTTGCGCTTAACCACTGTGCACATTGGCTCTGGCTTTCAAGATGGAGAATTGTTTTCCCTAGTTCCTTGTTCTGTTTGATGTGAATGCCAAAATGTATGGTTCATACTGTTGCCTACAGCTGTTGTTATGTTTCTTTCTTGTGTTCCTTTTGTTTGAGCTTTACGGTAATAACTTACCAGTGCCTTCAGCAGCAGCTAAATGTGTTCAGACCATCTGTGTTAAGAGAACCTGATCATTTTTAATCTTGTCTTCCCTCTCCCATCATATAGAGATATGTGCTCATGCGAGTGGCATGTTTGGGAAGCTGTTAGCTTTTGAGATCAGAGAATCAACAGTAGTTTAACCAAAATCCATGGGAGAAGCGTATGCGTTATTAAGACTCTGCTCCACGTGACTGTTAGGGTTAAGATGAAAATATGAAACATACGCATGGTGATACATTCTTTTGGCCGATATAGTTGTGCATATGCTTTCAAAAATTTCGTCTTGTGTTCTACTTGGAAACTAGTATTTAAAGATGTTTGTATCCGTTAATATGTGCAGATATGGGTGTGGAGAGGTGTGTAAACCTGGATGGCATGAGCGAGCCACAGATTCTGAAGGCTCTTGAAGGGCTTGTGAAAGCCCAAGGAGCTACGAAAGCCTAAGGTTGTTTGTTGCTTCGTTTGTTTTTATATCTAGATGATGATCCCGAATAAGCTTGAACCGGAAACACTCATTTGACATTTCCTGTCATTCTATTACTACTACTCTGTAACTCCGTGGTTATCGCCTTGCGTTTGAGTTGGTTTTTGTTATTTTTTGTAATCCTTGAACTTGGAATTAATCAAACAAATTCCACATGATTAGAGTCAGCGAAAGGAGCAAATAAATGATAACCAAGTGTAAAATCATAAGGAGTGAAAATATTGATTTCGCAATTCTTAACATTAAACTAATTTCTCTAGATTTTTACGCAAAATCATAATTTAGCTTTAATCAATGAATTTTGTACATGCGTGGGCGTGCAGGCCCATAAAGCGAGAGAGAGAGACTCTTTTGAGAGCGAATCAGGTTCGCAACGGACGGTAACAAACTGAAAAGCCGTGAGAAGGTCCAATCCCAGGGGAGGCACGTGCAAATTCGAAGTTAAGAAGTGATTTAGGAACCAAACGGCTCAAGTGGCTCGATCAACTGTTGTCGTTAAGATAGATTAGATACTCAAATATTTATCCATATCCATATATATATATATAATAGACATTGCAGTTTGATGAAGAAAATAGATTCGGTTTATTGATGCGGACGAAATTGGCAATGTACGAACCAATCAAAGGCTGCGATGGTGATGATCAATGGCGGGAGAAGAAAGACATTGAGTCCGCTCTCCAGATTTCTCGTCCTTCTCTGCCTCCCGACAAGGAGCGATTAGTCTCTCTCGACGTCTTCCGTGGCCTTACCGTCGCCGTGAGTTTATTATTTCACCTTGTTTTAATCGCTTTACCTTTTTTTTTTTTTTTTTTTTGGTAATAGTTTCATCCTTTTCCGATTTGACGACATAGCCTTCAGTTTCGGATAACATCATTCTTCTCTGGTTATTCAAAGCAACAAATAGACTTTGAATGGTTTGTGGGTTTTGCAGGAAATAAAGAAAGTATTGTGTTTGGAGTTGAATGTTGTTTTTTTTTTGAATGATATTAACAGTTAATGATACTAGTGGATGATGTTGGAGGGATTTTTCCAGCTATTAATCATTCAGCTTGGGATGGAGTAACGATTGCTGATTTTGTCATGCCTTTTTTCCTTTTTATCGTTGGTGTCTCTCTTGCCTTTGCCTATAAGGTATATGATGCTTACTCACCATCTTTATAATCTGTGGGAGTGATCAACTTCTTTTGCTTTGTTGGAGTTGAGTCTGATCTTTTATTTTGCTTACAGAACTTGTCATGCAGGTATGCTGCAACAAGAAAAGCTCTGCTTAGATCTTTCAAACTCCTCTTACTTGGTCTTTTTCTCCAAGGTTTGGTTCTAAACTATGTTCAGTGAGTGAGTCCTCAAGTAGCTCTATCTCAACTTACAAGAGTTTTGCTTTTTTTTTTAACTTTCCAGGAGGATTCATCCATGGCCTTAACAACCTAACTTATGGAATAGATGTAGATAAAATTAGATTCATGGGCATATTACAGGTATATATATATTTCATGAGTTTTTCTTTCTTCCGGTTGCCTAAACATGTAACACTCTAAAACTTTGTAAATCACTAGCTTTTTGTTTGTTTTGTTCTCAGAGAATAGCGATAGCATACTTAGTTGCCGCTCTGTGCGAGATTTGGTTAAAAGGAAACCATAATGTCAGCTCAGAGCTATCTATGATCAAGAAATACAGATTTCACTGGTAACTAGTGTCTTTATCTTTATTTCTCAAAACTCAATGTTGATATATGCACTTGCTTGATTTCATCCTTTTTCTTATATGACAGGGTGGTGGCATTTGTCATCACAACAATATATTTGTCCTTGCTCTACGGCTTATATGTACCGGACTGGGAATATCAGATTTCAACAGAAGAACAAGGATCAACGTTGACAACATTCTTGGTTGGATACTACTGTTCTTCTTCCTTCTACATATACCTTCCTTGCATGTTCTGTTCAGCTTCTCATATTGATATGATGCTCAAAACTGTCTAGAATCTGAAGGTGAAATGTGGGGTACGAGGACACACTGGACCAGGCTGTAATGCAGCTGGAATGCTTGACCGTATGTTACTAGGGATACAGCATTTGTACAGGAAACCCGTATATGCACGAACCAAGGTTCTACATTTGATCCATGTCTTTGATTTTTTCTCAATGTTTGTCTCCATGTCCATTTTCATATGATCTCTTATATCTTCTTCTCAGCAATGCAGTATAAATTTTCCAGACAATGGGCCATTACCACTTGATGCTCCTTCTTGGTGTCAAGCGCCTTTTGATCCTGAAGGCCTTTTAAGGTCTCTGCTTCTACTTGCAAAAATGGGATTTTAAATTTTTTAAAAGCGATCATAATTGCTCGCAAAGTAACATTCATGTTTGTTAATTGTATGTAGTTCGTTGATGGCCACCGTTACATGCCTAGTGGGTTTGCACTACGGTCATATTATCATCCACTTCAAGGTAAATATATCATTGTTGTTATCTCTGGTTTTGGTGAATTGGAATAAGAAGTAGCATTTGTTCTTGTCTTTTAACAGAAACTTACCATTGTTACTCTGTAATTGACTTCTTACAGGACCATAAAAAGCGTCTGAACCAATGGATTCTACGTTCTTTTTGTCTTCTGATGTTAGGTCTTGCACTGGACCTCTTTGGTATTGTCCTTGGCTTTTTTTTAACTCCCCTTTGCAGAATTCTTAGTCCTAATTCATTGCAATATCAAAATACCTTAATCAAATCACAATTTTGCATCGAAATAGCGTAATCAGAAACATTTCAATAATGTTATTTGTTTTTACGGTTGCTTGCAGGAATGCATCTAAATAAACCTCTATACACATTGAGTTACGTGTGTGTAACCGCAGGCGCTTCTGGATTTCTGTTATCCGCGATATATCTGATGGTTTGGTTTTGCTATTATCTTTGTATCCTTCATTTCACAGAAGCATCACACATTGTAAAATGTTAACCTCTCTCTCTCTATGTATCTCTCCACAGGTTGATGTATATGGATACAAAAGAGCAAGTGTTGTATTAGAGTGGATGGGAATACACGCCTTACCGATCTACGTTCTCGTTGCATGCAATCTTGTCTTTCTACTCATTCATGGATTCTACTGGAAGAAACCCATTAACAATCTCGTATGTTTTACTTCGTTTTTTTTTTTCAATTTCCGTTTATCATTCTTTAAAGTTTCTGTGTCGGAATTCAAAATGTTTATTTCTATTTTGCAGCTCCATTTAATTGGAATCGGAAAGTAAGAAAGAAGAGGAGGGAGGTGAAGAAGCGTACCGTTGCTTTGATATAATTCTTTGAGATGCTTATTTGAGGAAGAAGCAAAAGCCTTCGTTTCCCACATTCATTCATCTCTGGAATCCAAATCTATTCTACTTTTGTAAATCGAATTTAGCACATTTTTACATTCTTCTCTTATATATAAGCTTTTCAACTGTACATCGATTCTATTGACAACAAATTGCTATTTTCAATTAAAAAAGAAACAAGAAGTTAAATGTGATTTGCGATTAAAATTTCGTCTTACCGTCTAGTTAAACCGTTTGGTGTAATTAGTGATCGTTGAACAGATTGAGCTCTAAACCGCAGCTGATTCTACTTACCAGTCAAACCTTATATCTTAAGACAGATACGTTATCCAATTATATAAATTGTCGTGGATACATCGTTTCGTTAGTTTATTAGTTTTGGAAGATTACTAAAGAAAAATAGGCTTACGTAAAGGTTCTAGAAGTTAAGGGCATTAACGCAAAGAGGAGAGAGGACCAAAAGTCATTAAAAACAATAATTTCAAAATCCACTTTGCATTGACCACACCAACCTCTTACATATAGTCTTTTCCATTTAACTTTGATTTTTCTTCTTTTTTATCCTTCCCTTTCAACCAATAATAATCCACTAGAAATTAAATATAAATATGATATGCTTATAACTAAAACATTTTTAACGCAAGTTATGAGGGAACTATTTGAATTTACAGCTATTTAGAGTGTTGACAAAAGTTTCTCCATCAGTAATTTCTATTTTGTTTTTTTTTTTAAAGTATCGACAAACTAATTGTACTTTTAATCAATTTTTTAAGTTTTTTGTTTTATATAAACTAAAAACAAAATACTTGCTGTTTTACGTTAGCCATATATTTTAATAGAAGGAGAACCATTTAATTTGTAAAAATAAAACAAGTGAAAAGCGAAATACTAGAAACAAATATCCACAACCATTGAAGGATTAAATTTCCTATATAGATTGATTTTTCAGAGTCCACAAAACACGGCTAATTGTAAATACGTACGGCGCCATATCATTTGTCTACGTACGTCGTATAAAAACAATTGACCTTCATGGCTATAAAAGTAAGCCTTGTCGAAAATAAATTACATGTTGGTGTGGGAGACAAACAACAGAAACTATTCAAACAAATATTCAATCGCACATGTGAAGGTTTACAGGTTTAATGGAAGGTTTAGCTACGTCAGAGACTATTCAGCTTCTATTTATTAGGATTTGTGAATTTCACTAATAATACACATTAGACTAATTATGTATCATCTCCTAACTATATAACCAAGATGTATACGAATACGACAGGTAACTTTTTGCCGTAACGAAAAGGTTTTTTCATCTAAAAAGGTTATCAATCAAATTATATATAATTATGTTTTGATGAGCCGAAAATACGACAAACAAATAGAATAAAACACATATAATTAAAAATAAGTTGAACAACCGGCTGCTTGCGATTCAGAACGTGATTTACTCTTTTTCTTTTTTTTTACATTTTTTTTTCTTTTTATCAATACACTATTCAAATTCATAAGATATCATATACATAATCTCCTAACGATTATTTATTGTTGTTTATAAATTAACCACACTATAAAAAACCTTGTTCCTCGTTAATATTTTATTTACCACCAAACATAATCGAGATCTCCCCGTGAGTTGATGATATTTG